CTGAATCCATCGATCTTGAGAATTTCCAGGTATTGTTTCTCAGAAACCTGAAGGAACTTGGTTTTTTTACGTGACTGCATTATCTAGGCATGTTCATCTCTTGTTCTTAAGAATATGTTTATAATGTTATTGTATTAAAAGCAAACTACGAATCGTTTTCTATCCCCATATTCATACTTCAGCCCGTGTTACCTTATTTCCAATCACTCTTTATTTCTATTTCGATGATTGACAACAGTTTAAGCACTGAGCCTATAAGGTGTCGTTATGACAAAACTGTAAACTTGAGGCTAACAAGGATGATTTTTAATCGAAGGAACCTTAGTCTTGAAAACTTGTTTTGTCGATGTAAATGGTATTTAGCAAGGGAATGTGAATATAATGAGCCATATCAGAAATTTTTAGAAGTATGTTGTTACAAAATAAACTAAGAACTGGCTTGGTGAAGAATTGCTTCGTTTAAAATCACTTCAATCCTAACGCGCAGCTTTTAAACTTGCCAAGTAACAAATAGTTTGATTTAGATGATCATTAAAAGGCTTTTGCACAGAAGCTTTGTGCAATTTTCAAGTATTTTGCTCTTTCAAAATTAATCTCACAGCAAGGGCACCCTAGACTGAAATTTATTCAAGTATATATAACTCAGTCTTTTTAAAACGCTGTTGCTGTGATCACTATTATTCAACAGTAGAAAAATTATGTAGGTGGACGTTTTTCTAAATGAGAAAAAAACGAGTTGTTTTTAAAAAACAAATGACGAACATAAAGAGTTGATTATATTCACCATAGCTAAGCAGTTCTAACAAAATATGTTGGATAGCACCAGTAAGAACTTAAAAATTTCATTCTAGATTTATACGTTTAGAAAACTTTCCAAAGCTAATATAAATCTGCTCATTGACGCAAAACAAGAATTTTTTTTTTCGGCTTCATGCAATTCGCATGAATTTCCCCTGTTCACGATAACCGTTCGAAGAAAAGAGACACAAGCAACCTCTTTAGTCATACGTTCCTTTGATAGATACCCAATAGTCAAGCACCTGTTTATTTACACTGGTGCTTGACTGTTTCATATATATGTCATTTCGTGTATTCGATCATTCAGATGCGGAATATCTCATAAACTTTCACCAGGATGCTTTCCTTTGAAGCTTACCCACTTATATTAATGATCATCTTGGCTTACAACCTACAGTGTCTGTCGTAACCATAGCTAACAGACAGTAATAAAAGAAAACACGTTTGGCTCAATAACACTAAAGCTGGGCACCAAAGAACGTTGGATCTTTGAAGGTAAGAAATGATCGTATATAATGCATGGATAACTTGAGTTTGATTTTCATTCCATGATAAGTTTTGATATCCACCCGAACTCCCCTATTTCTGTGTAGCTGAAATAAAACGATAATGAAATTAACCGAGCTTCCAAATGTGGGTATAACAAACTTTTGGCGGAAAAAACAGCTTCAGGTATTTGAAATAAACAAGATCGTTATCCTGAATTTTAGTTTCCTACAATGGGTTTACTTTTTGAAACTTTTCTCAGCGATAGTTGTTTATGTTCATAATGACACCCCTTCTCGAAATTGTAGTTCCATCATTACCGTAAATAGAGAAAAGCACCAAATCATAAAAAGTCCGTGCTGGCGGTTCCTAGCTCGTCACAAATTGTGACACTCGAAACGACAGGAAATTCCATAAAGCGATGAGAGGGGAATTAATGCAGTGACGAAGCTCGCTGTTCGGGTTTAATCTACGGTAAAGAAAAATAGAGTTGATGACAAAAATCTTCTTCCTTTGAAATATCCAACTTGCCAAAAAACATGGTTTTTTTTCTGTACTTATAAAGATTGCCTTTCACAAATTGTTTTGTCCTATCCCCAACTTAGACTGATATGCAACTCGTTTGAATTCCGTTCATATTATGACAAAAGTGATAATTTTGAAATAGAAGAATCGTGAAAAAAAATGGAAGTTGATTTGCATGACTCCCAATCAGAAAAATGAGTTGGGAACCAAATTTTGGCTCACAGGTCTCGTTAACCCAAAGTCTGCACCAATTTTATCTAACGGAGGAAAATCTGAATATGTTTTATAATTTAAAAGGTCTTCCAATGAAGGCCTTGGAAGCCAGATCCGATACTGGATGGTTTAGCTGAATCCTATCATACATTACGGCACACATTTTTCAAATATCAGTTTGCTATTATCCTTGAGATGGAGGTGGCGCCTAAAACAACATTCACAGCGTCGTCTCACTAAGGCTCTGAGTTAAGTATAGTAGCTGTCTACACTGGGTCATGCTCAAGTGATATAAGGTGTCTGACGGGTTCTGCCTCGACGCTCTTTATTCAATCCTGATGTATGAAGACACAGGTCGTAAGTTGCTGGGAAAATTTATGGAATTTCTGTTATTTAATATCCTCTGTTTACGGAAGATTCATTGTTTGTTCAAACTAAAGAGCTTATTCGAACTCATCATTAGTTCATTTTGACGATAATGTATGTCGGGGAAGATAAAATGACTAATTACTTAGGCCTTCAAATTATTGCATACCTGTATTATTTCAAGTAAAAAGGACAGTCAAATTAGAAAGTATTTTGCTCAATGTAGTGAAGTGGGTGGTACAGCTTAACAACTACAAACACGATATTCGAAATTCAATAAGGAGTTTCCCTTACTCATTTTGTCGAATTGGAACAAGAGACTCACAATCCATCAAAGAACGTGGCTTGTTTTATAATTTTAGATTTATTTAAAGGTATAGTCTAAATAAAGAATTCATGTTTTTTGAAAATGAAAGCGAATGCAGGAATAAAGTCTTTTTTGGCGGATAAGGTTACGCCAACCTGTCTGGTCCTACACACCGATTACTATTATCCGCTGGATCTCGTGAGCGGGACTGTCGGTACATTAGGTTTATTTTAATTACCATATTTTGGTGAGAATTTTCTTTTCGTCAATTATTGACGCTTTATTAACTCTTAATTAAAAATTTAAAAAAAGAAACACTGAATCTAGGGATCAATATTAAAAATTTGAAGGTGTTGTTTCTCACAAACTCGAGGGAACTTGGCTTATTATGTGACTGCATTATCGGAGTATGTTCACCTAATGTTCTTAAGAATATGTTTGTAATGTTATTGTCTTCAACGCACTCCATTTACTGTAATTATGAAGCAATTGAAATTAATGTTATGGAAATTTGTTCAAAAAATCACTTTTTCAAATCTATAGATGAACACCGATACAATCGTAGCCCCTCAAAAATCAAAGTGTTTCTAACTGGCACAAAGGAAGACATTGAAAACGTGTTCATTCGCAGGCATTAAAACGTTTACCCACGTATGTTATATGCAGGGGCAGGACTGACAGCTGTTATCTTTGTTAACATCCCATTTTCAATACTAATAGGTCTCTTTCTTTTATTAATTCACTATTAAATGCAGGTGGTAGACACGAAATTGGTAGCATACTAAAAGCATCAATATTGTGCTCCGCTGTCTTTAGAAAGTATGGAATTTTCAGCGTTTCTAATATTCGCAGTCTGGACTTCATCGATGATTTACTTGACGTTTGGTGAAGGTGAGTTGTAAAATGCGAATCCTTTTCTATCCCTATATTCATACTTCAGCCTGTGTTATCTTATTTTCTATCACTCTCAATTACCATTTCGCTGATTCACGACAGTTGATGCACTAAGCTTATAACGCGTGGTTATCACAAAACTAAAAATCTGAATTCAACAAACATGATTTTTAAAGGAAGGAACATCAGACTTGTAAACTTCTTTTGTTTATTTTAATAGTATTTAACAAAGGGGTATTATTATGACGAACTATATCGGAAATTTGCAGTTGTTACAAAAAAACTAAGAACTGCTACGATGAAGAATTTGGTCATTCAAAACCACTTCAGTCCTAACGCTTAGCTCATATTTACATGGAAGGGTAATCAGTTCTATCAAAAAAATTTCGTTGTTGTTGAGCAAACGGGAATTCGATAATTTGCACAGAAGAAAAATTGGCTGCTCATAGTCAACTTAAGCGGGGTCATTTCTGTAAGAGAATATTGCTGGCATTTGAAATAGACCACGTTTTCTGATTTTAAAAATTTGTTTATAAAAATAGGGTAGCCCGTCTCAAAAGTTTTTAACCACTTTTGTGGAATTGAAAAACCCTTTGACGCAAAATCCTTGTGGGTATTGCTCTTTGAAGTGGAGACTTCAAAACTTGTCAAACAAGGAATAGGTTGATTGCAGAGACCCTTGACAAGATCTTTGCACAGAAGCTTCGTTGAATTTTCCAACTTTGCTTTCTTTCAAAATTAATCTCACTGCAAGGATACCTTGACTGAATTTTTTTTCAAATAAATATCATTAAGAATTTTTAAAACTCTGTTGCTGTGATCAATATTTTTCAACAGCAGGAAAATGTGTGAGTGGACTTTATTCGACATGAGGAAAGAAATGAATGCATAAAACGATGGGCAGATAAATGAGTTGCCTTCGGAAAACAAATGACGAAAATAAAGAGTTTATTATATTCACCACAGCTAAGCAATTCTTACAACCCACGTCGGCTTGCAAAAATAAAAAAATTAACTCTAGATTTGTGCGTTTAGAAAACTTTGAAAAACTAATATAACTCTGCTGACTGAGCAAGACAAGAATGATTTTTTCGGCTTCAATTTGCATGAATTTCCTTTGTTCACGATAGCTGTTGAAGTTAAGAGCCACAAGGAACCTCTTTAGTTATACATCTCTTTAGTGAACACTCGATAGTCAAGCACCTGTTTATATAAGGAAAAAAAAAATACCCTTGAGGACCATCCTGGTCAAAATTTTTGAGATATAAAAGGCTCCCTACAAGAGAACTCAAATTAAGTTCATTGCACTGATGACAACGATATCAAAGAAGCAAACACCAATTTTTTTGCGACGGAAAAGTATGCCTTATAATTATATTTCAATTTGTCTGTTTTAGAGCGAGAGCGCGCAATGGTATTTCCAGACTACTACTTCTTTGCTGAAAGACGTTTGGTAAACCATACTATCGAAACAAGAAAAGTCAAGAACTTTGATGATTGTGAGCTTTTGTGCTACTTAAACGACAATTGTGTTAGTCTTAACTTCAAAAAAGATCCTGACAATATTGACGCAGTTCACATCTGTGAACTGAATAACGCCACGCATCTGACATATGACAGTGACTTGACTACTGATGCCAAGTTTTATTATCGTGGCTCGAAGGTGAGTTTCACATCGATTTTTCTTGAGATTATCGCCTCGGAATAATATAAAAACAATTATGAATGTTTATGCAAGTTTTCGTTTATTCGATCATTAGTTATTTATTATTCGGTATTTATCCCTCCATCTTTCTTTCGTCATTTAATTTTTTTTTTCTCCTTCAGAACGCTTGTGACAAGAATTCCCTCTGCCAAAATAACGCAACTTGTCAGTCTGGATTTACGCTCAAGGGATATCGATGCTTGTGTCCTTCCGGATTCGAGGGAGAACGTTGTGAAATAGGTAGAAGTCTTAGTCAACACTTGAAATGACGTATATGCGAGATTTTGTCGGATTTTCAATGCTGGTATGAAAACCGTCCTTCAGTTGGTGAAAATGGCGTAAATTTGTCTCATTGTATGTTGTGCTGAATCTTTCCAAAAGAAGATTTCTTACTATAGTTTATTGAGCGTGTGTATTGTTTTCTTTGCTCGCTCGTTTGTATATTTTCGTTTTGTTTTGGTTTGGTTTGTCTGCTTGTTTTCTGTTTTGTCGTATGCTTGATAGAGTAATTGCAAGGAGAGTTGAGAAATAATAGCTTATTGAAAGGTCTCACCAGAGAGCCACTTAGAACAAGAAGCTTTAAATAACTTGAGGTTTTTCGAAACTGCTAAGTTCCTATGGCTCTTTGAAAAAAACCGAAATGCTTATAGCTTTAATTGATAACTTAATTATTTTTTTCTATGTTTCTTTCTAATTTTACGACAGATATTGATGAATGCGTTGCAACTCCTGGCAAATGCCACAATAAGGCTGCGTGTAATAACACACACGGATCATACGTGTGCACGTGCAAATCTGGATATATCGGAGATGGGCGGAATTGTACAGGTACCGTCAATAGTCTTAAAAGTCTTTAGATTCTTGTTGACAAGCATATCGAGTTTTCTTTATGTACGACAATCTCGCGTTGAAAATAGGTATGGCTTGCAATCTTTAACACGGTAATGGCTTATGCACGGTAATTTTTGCATAATTTTGAAATCCCATTTTTTTTATCTCTGATCTCATAGAAGTTGACGAGTGTAAAGGGAACCACTCTTGTCACAAGAATGCAAACTGCGCCAACACCATTGGATCACATGTATGCAATTGTCAGCCTGGATATACTGGAAATGGACAAAATTGCACAGGTGAATTTTGATAGATTTTATTTAAATTATAGAGAAGCCTTGACTGTGCTGTGTTCTGTTGCGAAGCACGCAGGAATCAGTTTGAGCACGAAAGAAATGTAAAGAGAACATGAAACGTAATCGAGGAGGAATTTCGTCTCTGCTCATGTTATAAATTACAGCGTTTGTCATGTTTAGAAACCTTAATTTGGTTCTTCTGTTGCAACTTGCCGGCTCGCTTGTTCCGAAATTTCACTTTTGATTGACGGAAAAGCTTGAGAGAAGTTCGGGAAATGGTCAGACATGGTACAATTTGGCAGACGGCGTGACAGCTTTAGCTCAGCTCCATGCTCCGATAGAGCACGCTCATTCAACTAATGACAGCGCGCGTTATGTCCGAACTTAAATCGTCTTTCATTGTTGTAAATGAATATCTTCGATGCTTTTAGTTTCTTTCTGCCGTTGGATGAACCTTACAATAATTATAGACGACGACGTGAAACAAAATCGCAAGTTTTACTTTGAAATGTGCTAAACGACAAAATGTAGATGATGGGGAAATTTAATTGATATATAGTTTCAAACAAAACGTTAGCAATCGGTGACGTAATTTTATTGACTACTCGTTGAAATTTTGCCAACTGCTGTATAACTAAATAGAAAAAATTTAACCTTGCATGTAATCAATATGCGTGCTCGATAATAACAACTTGAATATACGTTCATATTTTTTTGTATCTCACCATCAGGAAGGCTGACTCTTTATCGCTTCAGGATGTCGTTGATATCCGATTTTTTTAGAAAATCTTTTTTTTTCTGGAATAAATATTAGTGTCGAAAGACTACGAATGTTAAATTTTGTGTCATCAAGGTTCATTTATCTTGTAATGACAATTCTACTAGACCTGTTCTTTGCGTGCGAGGGTGGTCTGTCCCCTTTAAAACAGTCGGAAATCGTTGATCAAAATTTGCAGGTGACACTGTACAATCTAGCGTCACAGAATTTTGTGGTAAACAATTTTTGAAATTGTTAGATTTAGTGTGACACCAAATAAGCCAATGGCAGTGCGCGCCCGTTGCATCAAATATCTAACTTTGCACTGTGACGCACAATATATTTTTAGACATGGACGATTACAAATTGGATCTCTGTAATCAATAACAAAATACAGTTATTTCTCCCAAAGATGACAATTTTGTTCCATAATTGGAACCTGAAATTGTTTGCATTGTCTTATTATTTTACTTTACTTTTCTTACTATACTTTACTATTAACTGAATTTTAATTACAGCACGTCGTTGACGTCCGATTTTTTAAGAAACGTTTTGCCTTCTTTTTTTTAAACATATTCAAATATTACTATTACCAAATTTTGTGATAGCTAGTGTTCTCTATCTCCTTGTGACATTCTTTGCAGTTTGATTTTGACGTAAGATTATGTCCTCTTTCAGACATTGACGAATGCAGTGAAGCTCATACCGTTGAAATGAACAAATGCCATCCGAATGCCTCTTGCACTAATACTCAGGGCTCTTACTACTGTTCCTGTCATCCTAAATACATCGGGGATGGTTTAAACTGTGAAGGTATGTTTCGTATTTACCATGCCATTTATATCAAACTTAATTCCCATAAGCGCGAACATTTGCTCTCATTAGCGTCCAGGCTGGCGCGGACAAAGCTTTCCTTACTGCGCTTGCGCATTAGAGTATCGATCGCATTAGTGACAATTCACCACGTTGGAATCTTTGGAATCCTCTAACGTTAATTTTCAATAAAGTAATAATCCAGCTCGTGATAAAATAACCTGACATAACATGTTTTGTCGCGTCATTTGTCAGTGAGCCTCTTGGCACCAAAACCTCCACTTCTCCTCTTTGCTCGCTGAAGCTTTGGACACATGGTCCCAATCTTTTTCCTCAAGACATTTGTTATTCGATTGTTGACGACGATACCTCTAATGCCCGTTTGTTGCGTGATTTTCTCCGCAACTGCAGCGAAGGTAGACTCGCCTCTTCCCTCTCCATTCTCTTTGGCAATTGAGTAGGGAAGATACCTGAAAAATTGAAACAAAATGTTAGTATTGTATGAAATTCCGTATCTCTGAGAACAAAAGGAAAAAAATAAAATCGCCTAATTTATTCATGAGACTACTTACTAGTTAATACATGCATGTAAACGAAGGTAACGAATGGCTTGAAAATCTTGCTTTTGGACCCTCTGATCTTTTTGCCACGGCTTTTATGAATCCGCAGTAGACCAGAAGTAAAGCCGGTGAGCGTGCTCCAATTTGAGTGGCCATTTGACCCATCTACCTCAGTCGCAAATTAGACGAATTATATACCAAAATATAGAAATTTCTCATTCCATTCGACTGTGGCGGTACAAAAGAGATTCGATCATGCGCGAAAGAGCTAAGATCCACTCTTACGCGCTAACTGCAGTACGACACTTTGAACGTCTTCGAAAATTGCCTAATCATAATTTTAAAAAAAATTAATTTTGATCCATTAAATTCAAAGCTTTGGTATTTCAAAATAGCTTATTAATTTGCTTTAAAATTTGTCCTTAAAATTTTGTTGGTAAATTTAATCATTATCAAAACTTCTCTTAGCAATCGAGCCAAAGGTTCCAAGTTTGGTGTGTTCTTGAGTCAGACAGTCGTGGGGGCGTGGTCGCCAAGACTTGATATAGACTTTTGTTAACTGTGAAGTTTGATGTGAACTAGTTATGTTCTCTATAAGTTAGACATAATGCCAGTTTTTCGTATGTAAACTACGTTAGCTACACCTTTAGTTTTCCGAAAGCCCTCTTTTAATGCGCTATTGAAGAAAGAGGAAACACACATTTAGATTCTGCTATCTATAGTTATTAAATTTTATTTCCCGTATTTATAGATTTTGATGACTATACTCGTGTCATTTGACTTTGCAGTCGATCCTTGCTATGAATACAAAAATCTGAGTCATCGTAAAAGAAAAAGCAATTACAATACTCCCGATAATGGAGGGGGGTGTGATAAAGGACTCGATGGATGGTATCGTTTTGCGGGAGCAGCAGGAACAAAAATGCCAACAACACGTGTGCCAGCATACAGGTGTAGTACAACCTACTCTGGCTGGTTGAATGGTGCCCATCCTACAGTGGAAGACGGTGAAGTTCTCCGGGAGGTCTGCTTTAGTGATAATTCTATGGGTTGCAAACACAATACCCAAATTTCTGTGAAGAACTGCTCATCCTACTATATCTACAAACTTTATGGGCTGTCGCAATGTCCTTCGCGCTACTGTGGCACAGGCTGAATATGCAGAGAGGAGTTTACGTAATAACAGAATTCATAGTCGTTGTATTTTAGGGAAGTGGCGTCACGATCCTTAATATTTTGCTAGATTTTTACGTTGGTGTCGCCTTGTAAATGCTATCATTAAAAAAAGAAGTCTTATTTGGAATGACAATAAGATTCATGACAAAAAAAAAACACATTTCAGAAAACAGACGTGTCATTCTCGCTGTATGAATTATCGAAAAGTGGGTTAATATAGTTTTCAATGCGGTCCAATTCTGAAATTTTATATAACTTATGTTAGTACCTTTGGCTATTACTTCTTTTATTATCCTTATATCTGAGCATGATGTTTCCTTGTAAAACAAAACTACAATCAAAGATAAGTAGGTAACGGTATTATAACTTAAAAAGAGTTGTAAGAAAGACTCGAGAGTCATCAAGAAAACAACCTGCAAAGTTTCGGTGTCAGATTTATTGACAAAGTCGAACGAAAATTATTCAATGCTTTCTTTTTAAAACAGTAGCATCCATTTAAGCAGAAGAGCTGTAAATAAATAAATCCGTCACTGTTCCATTACTTACAAAAACCATTAGGGCTTGGGAAAAGAACCCTTCAAGGGCAAGTGATACAGATTTGATAATCCTACCATACTTGGAGTCATAACAAAATTTTACATAATTTTAAATAATTAATCTAATATACCTATGTCTCTTAGAGAAGAAAACTTGAGAAAACAAGAAACCATTTGATTAGTTACGGTCGTTATTGGTTAGACTCGGCTCAGAGAGAAGGGGATCTTAGTTCAATATGATTGGAAAGACCACAACTCATTTCAGTACGACAGTTAACGTTGGGATTTTCGGTGGAGTCCAATTAAGTCTGTAATCATACGAGTAATCAACAAAATCCAAATTAATCAAAACTATGACAAAATTGGAGAAAGAAACTGGAAATCGGTAATACGTTTTCATTAAAAAAAACAAACAAACAAACAAAAAACAAACAAAAATAACAACACAACAACGCATGCACATGACGCGTTCGGTCCACTTACACAGGTATTATGTGTTAATTGTCTCTTTAACTGTCCTACTACACTGTCCAATTACAAGCATGACGCGCACGCTGTCCTATTAGTGCTCAAATTGGGCTGGTGATAACCGTTCGCGTTCGGGATTTTTGTTCTAGTTTTGGTTGGAGAATTAATAGGTGAATGAAAAATCTTTATTAACAAATCGCGGTCGTTCGATTTTGTTAATCACTCGTATGATTACAGACCGAATTGGACTCCATTGGACCCTATTACCATTATAAAAAGGGAATAATAAAAAAGAGGAAAGAAAAAGAAGGAAAAGAAGACTGTCCCAGGCATAATTCAAATATGGAGTTCAAGAAATCGTCACTTTTGCTTTTCTCAACGCCTTTGCCCTACTTCCTACAATGGAATCGTTTAAAAGGGAAAAAAATTACATCAGAACAAAGAAAAAACAAAACAAAAACAAAATACATAATGATAACCCCTTCAAATGACAAATGTTAAAAATCTGTCGATGCCAAATTACGTTCTAACACTTCTTCTAGTCATTTCCTCTTTTGGGGTTCATTACCTTAATACAGAATCTGCATTACCTCATTAAAGGAGCGATGCCAGCAAAAATAAACCCATGCAAATAAAAACCCATTTTTGATTTTTCTTAGGAATTTATGCGCCCCCAAGAGGTTCTTCATAATATCTTGGTGTCCCCCTCTTCCACTGTCTTATCTGAAACGATGAGGGAAATGCCGAGTTGGAGTTGGGGGAGGGGGAAGAACAGCCGAGGAACACTACAATTGTCCAAAGACTACTCTGCCTTAAGTCAGTCTACTCATCAAAATATTAGTTTTTCCTGGGGATAGGTTTTTTCTCGCTAAGGGTTTTCCAAACTTTTAGCGTATCAAGAAAAGCGGATCAGTTGAAAGTTGAGCAGACTTTGTTTAACGATTAACAATGACCGTATATGGCTACTTTGGAACAATGGCGGAAACAGCTTTAAAATACACGCGGGATTTTTCAAAATTTCCGATTATCATACGAGCGGCAGATTTAAACCATCGGCAAAACTAATGATACGACAAATCCTCCCCGTGGGGGTGATTCTGGTAGATTTTTTAGGATGCAAATAGTCACGGTGGGGTGGATGGTAGGGCGACTGTAGCTTTCGTATCTGAAGTAAAGAAATGTTACCGTTTTTTCCTTTACATTGCTTAAAACTGGCGAAAGATATATTCAATTAGAGGCTCACTGTGCGATACAAAGGTGATGAGAGCATGTGTAACCTGGTATTAACGTCTGAAGCCTACCACGCCATTGAATCATGTAGAAGACTATCTTCATTTGCTCGATTGTTTAATGTGCGGGTATTTAAATTTCGCGCTGCGTGAATGAGATTTTGTTCCTGATGTGCACAAAAAGGTTCATATTCTCCTTCTTCAAGCGTGTGATTTAAACCTGGTAATAACGCCCGTCGTTAATTCATGTAGTTTTACGGGTATCTTTCTCTTTCCGTATTTCAATTCAACGAAAGGAGTTAAAAAAAAAACAATGAGCGATTGGAAATAGTTGCACACTCTTGTCAATTTCTCCCATTCGACTCGACTGTTCAATCCGAGTACAATTTTTTTTGTGTTTACACAAACCGACATCTAATTGATACCTATTCATCCTTTTGATTGAATATCCAATAAGCAGACTCAGTCTGCTTTTTGGATATTTTTGCACGATAGTTATTAATATTAATAACAATTACTTTTATTAAAAATCTTATCATTAAGGCATCTTTTTGACCCCGATTTCAAATCTTTTAGTTCGATCGTTACCAACAAATTTTCATTCCAGGTTGATAGATAACAGACTTTTCCCATAGCTTGCTTTTGTCCGTTAAGACCTTGCGAGGTCGCCTTCCAGCAGAGGGATGATTTTCAACCTATATCTGGTATCGCGGGGGAGGCTTAACTTCAAAGCTAGTGCCCACACGTAACCCACCGACCTCTTCAATGGCTCCAATGGCTTTGTTGTGAAAACCTTAGGGGGTGGGGAGGGTAGGTTTTGACATATCAATCGCGGTAGGGGGGTTTTGCTTTGGCTTAAAACTGGACATCTCGGTTGAGTTCTTCATCTTCAGGCTGAATTTTTTTTCGAGGCATACATATATAGTCTATTCTTGCGGTATAGTGCCGATGCGTTTGCAGAGCGTGGAGTATCTGAAAGTTGGACAAATCAATAAGACATTGTTAACGCGATCATCAGACAAATTTTATATATATATATATATATATATATATATATATATAAGTGAAAGAATATATAAGTGAAAGAATCAAAGAGGACACATAGATTCTCTGTTTTATATATATATATATATATATATATATATATATATATATATATATATATATATAACTAACTGCAGACAGTACTGTTTCGGCCTTCTGGGCCTCATCAGTGCAGTGCTGATGCTAGGATGGAGGTAAGGCTATATAGCCACCCCAAGTGATCTCATACATGTGGGATCATCTAAGCCATGCCAGAGTGCTCAAACTAGAAAAACTAGTGAGCATGCATAATGCTAGCAGCAATGACTCATCCTAGTAGAGTGCTCAATTTGGACATGAAAGCAAAGCTTTGTATGCCAAAGAGCTATATCTAACTGCAGACAGTACTGTTTCGGCCTTCTGGGCCTCATCAGTGCAGTGCTGATGCTAGGATGCTAGGATATATATATATATATATATTAAACCCCTGAAGAGTGAAGCGATTCACGAAACAGGCTTGTTGGGAAATGTAGTTGCGTCCTTTTTTCCTCTCATAATATTTATATGTATAGAATATATATATATATATATATAAGAAATATGTAATAAGTATGTACGTTCCCTTTCAGACATTAACGAATGCAGTGAGGCTCAAACCAAATACCGAGCAAATGCCATGCAAATGCCTCTTTTAATAATGCTCAGGTCTCCTACAACTGCTCTTGTAACCCTAATTTCGTCGGTGATGGTTTTATTTGTGAAGGTAAATTTTGTTTTCTTGTTTTTCAAGGCGGATGTTAGATAAACTCGGCCTAAAACGCAGCTGCTCAAATGGCAATGAGTTGGTCCTACGTAGGCTATGCTATCTATGCTTTGGACTGGCGTAAAGTTCTTCTATTGTGCGCTTCTAGAGAAATAGGAAACGCAAATTCAGGTTTCCTTCTCTCCACAAAATTAATTTTCTACGGGTTCCATATCACGCTATTCGCCTCTACGACTAAACATGTCCTATAGAATTCTCGTTTTTCGTGTTATTAATTACATAATTGTTGAGCGCTACATCCGATTGTGAAAAAAGACCTGTAACCGTTGATCGTCATGATTAAATTGTTTTCATAATTATCACTTACCTTTGTAGCCGATCCTTGCTATGAATACAAAAAGGCCTAAGTGATGCCAATAGAATGAGATGCTACGTAACACCCAGTTATCTGGTGCTTTGTGACGACCAACTTTCTGAGGGATGGTATCGTTTTGTGGGAGCAGAAAGAACAAACACCCCAACAAACCATGTGACGCGATTCGGATATGGTACACGTTATTCAGGCTGGTTGGATGGTGCTTATCCTTCAGTAGAAGATGGTGAAGTTTCCAAGACAATCTGCTTTACTTTCCCCCTACATCTTGTAAAGACACAAAGAGAATTTTTGTGAAGAGTTGTGGATCATACTATATCCACAAATTTTTCAAGCCTCCAGGCCGTGAACGCACTACTGTGGCACACACTAAATGTGAAATAAATAATTTAATGAAATTAGAGGATTTGCAAATCAATCTGTCGTTTTATGCACTAAGATCAGGGATCGAACATTGCTTGATCGGAAAAGAAAGCGAAGAAACCTTTCCCTTAGGTGAACAATGTCTTAGCTTTAAGAAAACCGACTTTTTCTTTTAAATATCACCCAAACTTATGTAAACAAAAAGTTCAAATTACGGTTCGCTCTAAATTCAGGCGTGAGTTTGCATAATCTTTCATGGACGAAATCTTTATGACTTTCAAAGATCAAAACCATTTTCTAAACTACATCTGCTTTATCTTTATCCACTTAGCAAACAAAGCTTTCCAAATCACAGTCGAAACACCAGACGTAGTTCACTTCGGATTTCTCGATCTATCCTAGTTTCTCTGACCGCATCCAAACAGGTTTTACTACACAGCTTCCATCTAAGAGTCCCAGTGGAACGTGACGTAAAATGCGTCACGCGTTACTAGGAAACAGTGCTCATACATATGCACGAACCCCACTCAAGTGGGATTCGCAGAATTACACACTTTGTCGGTGTTGAAGTCGTCATGTCCACAAACATTTCAAGCCTTCAGGCCGTGATATGCGCTACTGTGGTTTAAACTAAATGTGAAATAAATAATTTTATGAAATAAGAGGATTTGCAAATCAATCCGTCGTTTTATGCACTACAAATTTCTGTCACCCTATGAATCTCACTCCTACCTACAGGACAGCCTCCTCCTATGATCGTAAGACCATTTGCAAGTTCTCAAAATGAATTTTCGTGGAAAACTGTGGATAAGGCCATACCCAAGAAACTTTATCGGCCACCTTGTCGAGTGTCGCGCTATTTCGCTACTAACTGAATGAGAAACAGTATGTTTCACCAACTAAAAGGATTTATGAATCTATTAGCACTTTCCAGGCACTTTGGGGATTTGAAGGAGTTTTCTTTTCATTGAAATCATTATCTACACCCGGAGATTGTTTACGCTGGTGAGGTACTGTTACATCGACGTATCAAGAATGCTTTGAATTGTGCATTATAAAGATTTAATTTGTGAGAAACACAAATACTAAACGGATGACAAAATTAAACACGGGAAAAAGAAGAAAGAAAGGAAAAGAAAAGAAAAATATATAGGAGTGAAATCCAAAACAAATAGTGTAATATTCCTCCCTAGGAATTGTTATTCATGAGATGGTAATAAGGTATGAAGAATCGCTCTGGCCGGAAAGCCCAAGCCAGGCGAAGGGGTGATGGTGAGACGGATCAATCCGACCGGGGGTGGGGTGGGTGAGAAAACGCTTCGATGCGCAGAACACAGCCCAAGGCCTCAAGTGAAGTGACAAGGAGTGATACAAAACAATCTATTATATCCAAAATCCCTAGGGACTAATTACCAATGCTAATTGAGTTAGCATAGTGTAATATTCCTCCCTAGAAATTGTCATTCATGAGATGGTAATAAGGTATGAAGAATCGCTCTGGCCTTCCCAAGCCTACACCCACACTCATATGAAATGAACAATCACACACCCTAAGAAAAGAAACACAAAGAACTCTTTAATCCTCTTTCCAATCCTTACTTAATACATACTATATCTAATCATTAACAATAACCTATATTATAATAGTTCAAAACTTCAATAAAATAAATTCATGAAAAAGCTTGGGAGAATCCCACAAGATGATCCTGACGTTTTTAGTCCTGCCCCGCTTGTAAAGGGAGATCCGCTAGTTTAGCCGCCGCGCCTGCTGGATTCACTACTTGCTTAAGTTTGATATAGTGAAGCGCCGTCTTACTAGATTTCCAGCCAATGTGGTCCATGATTTCACTGAGACTTACGCTTCGCAATGCTAAAGATACAGCCGCCCCACTGCGAAACCATGAACTGTTAAATGACTACTAGATAACTTCCCAACTAGCGCGGAAACATAAAAACTCAATCGCGCTTGAGCCGCCGAAGACTCCAAATGGCTGAAACAAACTCCGCCAGATTTTGAAATAGAGCGAAAAAGGAAACCTGGCGCAAGGTTAATACGTAACAGCTTACACACATCAAAATACATTTCCAAACCTTGGACAGGACAAATCAAAGGATTAGATCCCCGCTTAAAGGCAAACACATTTGCGTCACCTGACCTGAGAGACTTTGTCCAAACATGATTGAACAACAAACCAGAATTATCCGAGAAACGTAAAACATCAGATACTTTTACTTGTAACAAATCAGCTGCTCTATCACCAGAAAAAAATAATGCCTTAAATAAAGCCTGATCGCGGGCATACATAAAAATCTGAATTGCGCGCAAAGTCGAAGAATGCAACAAAAGGGTTCTAATGAATTCAGAGATAACCAACAAATCGTTCACTAAGATAGGCTCTGCCTGGCGTGGAGTTACCCTAGCCTTTAGTTGTTCTTCCCGCACATTACTCAAATAATTCTTAACTGACCTACAAGAAGCTGGATTACCTACACCTAACAAAGACTGCCATTCTGCGCCTCGACCACTCTCTGCAAATATAGCACGCAACTTGCCAATCAGTGAATCTATAGTCCCAAATGCCAAACGTTTAGGGCACTCACAATCTAGCCCCGCATTACCTCCCCAGGTGTGACAATCCTGTTTATGAACTCGTGTCCTTCCCTTTCCATCCATCCACACAAGGAACGCAATAACATCCGAAGGAAGCGCTGACGACAAAGACTTGGGGACTGACAAGTTTCCCAGAAAATTTATAAACTCCAATTCCAGAGCTGATTTCTGTTTAGAATAACGAGACGAACTACGTTGCTCATTCAACTCGCGTACTCGTTGGGCAATGCTGCCTTCATCAATATCCAATTTCTTTAGTGGTCCTTGGATTGTAGTACGTCTAACATAACCACATTTCTGACAGAAATTGAAATCCTCATCGTTCGGATGTGAGCATCGTGGGCACGCAACGCAGGGAGTGAATAACTTCGGAACTCTAGGCAATGTCTGTAGGGAACAAAAACGAAACAAACAATGAGCCCGACTCTACACCTAGAACCGAGACACGCGAAACGCCCACATAGAAAAGGGACAAGGTGTTGGACTATAACCCGACTTTGATGGGGATAGCAGAACACTCAAGTCACCCTGTGTACCAAGACAAATTTTCCCAGAACACCTTGCGTTCAATTCAACCCAACAATAGCGATGAGGAACAAACTCTGGAACCACAATAGTGAACGGGATCTTAAAACTCAAGAGAAACTTCAACAGTGGACTAATCAAAGAAAGTGGCGGGAAGACATAAGGATTGGACATGGACTGAAAAACCCGCAAGTCTTGACTGAAGACATTCACACCGTTGGAGTCTGGGTTTGGAAAAGGAGTAAAATGCGGCAAGGAAAACCCATCTTTGTTCTTCATTACATTTGAGTCCAAAGACATCAAGTCAAACGAATGACCTTCAACTCCACCAAACTCTTTATCGACCCTCTCAAAAGCTGACATTGACAATCTGGAATCCACACGTGACATTGTCCTAGACGGAAAATCGGCCACATTTTCCTTAGATGGTACATAGGATAAGTTCAACTGAACATTACGAGAAGATAGAACAAAATAAAGTCGTTTTGTAGCTGACGTTAACTGGGGGGATCTCCTACTACCAGACCCCTGCCACGCACCTAATACTGCCATACTGTCAATAGAAGCATCAATTCGGCAATCCTTAATTCCGTCAGGAAGAGCTTTAATAGCATACAACAAAGCTAACATTTCCTTTGTAGAAATATCGAGACACAGTTCCTCTTGACTCCAATAATCTCGAAAAGTCTGATCATCCGAAGGTGAATGAACTGCACAACCCCACCCATAACCGGACGCATCGGTAGAAATCGCAATACGCACATGCTTCTCGTCTCTCCACGGAAGAGTGTCCTTCCAGTCGTCAAGGTAACGCCAATGCGAAATTTCCTCCCTCAAAGCGTCGGTCATAGACACTTGCCCATCATCCAAGCCAGAAGCGATCGCTCTACTCATTTCTCTAATGAACAATTTCGCGGCTGGAACAGCTAAAGAGAAAGATATGCATTTCCCCTGAAATCGTTGTAAAGTTTTGATCCAAACATTTTTCTTGCAGGCAAGAATTTTCTCCCTAATTAAGGCCCAGGACTCAATCTTACGGCGCGGCACCAAAAACGATTGTCGAACGGAATTCACGATCAGACCCAAATACCCCAGGGATGAGACCGGCACAGGAACCGACTTCTTGATACCAATGGTATAACCGAGATCCAGTCGGTCGCAAGAGCTCTCCATTTAAGCGATCGTCTATATAGAGAGAACAAGGAATCCCTTGAGCTCTCAAGAAACCTGTGGCGGCCAGACCAATGGTATGATAAACATAAGGGGAGATTTTCCATCCGAACGGAAGAGTCGTACAAACAAACCACAGGCCACCAAAACTAAACCCAAAGTATGATTGCGAGGACTCTGTCAACATCACGTGATCATACCCGGACTTGTCGTCGCACTTGGTCATGAACGATCCGGGGTAAACATACCTAGTCACTTCACTCAGTTTATCCAGGGAAAACGGCATATCTTTCATCCAAAGGTTTAGAAACCTCGCGTCAAGACAAAGTCGAGGCTTCGTAGGTTCAACCGCGAGTGGCAACACAAGATGGGGGGGATCATCGACACCCACTACTCCCCAGACTCTAACAGCGCCGGTTAAAACACGATTCCGAATCTCCTTGGATGTAAATTCCGTAAAAATTTTTACAGTTTACATGATTCGGGAAAATCTTCTTAGGTGGAACAGTAGACGAATATTTAGCTCTCTTGAAAACTCCCGCAAAAGGCCTTGAAAAACTTAAGATGTCGACTTTATTTCTAATCCAATCTAGAATACAGTTCCTCAACGGATGACCCTCAAGTACCAGCTCCCAGGCGGCTGAATTACGGTGAAGACCGCCTGCCACAAAGGAATCCGGATCCCTTAAATGTAAAGTCCCGAGATCCGGAACCTTACCAGATAAGATAACACTTTCCCAACACACAGCCGCACCCCCCTGAACGGGAACCCAAGTCATATCCACCCATAGGGTCTCGTTTCTTGGTTTAATTGCCGTTGTCTGTAGTTGAAATTCCTTAAGAACGTAAAAGTTATCCACAGCAGCCTCACGCTTAGTACCACCCAAAATCTAAGGAAAAGAGGGCAAAAAGAGAGATCACCTATGGGAAGACCTGGGGTTCCCGATCAGGAGGGAGCAGCCTCAATTCGCCTGAAAACAGGTCGTCTGGTGGTCACCATATGTGATGAACCAGCAGGAGCTACTCTACCCCGATCCAGAAATTACAAGAGTGAATTAAAATTGAAACAACAACAGACACCGATTGACACAATGAAAAGGGAGCCTTGAATGCCGAGAAACACACGGCATAAATACTGGAAACTGATAAAAAAACATTGGGAAAACGCCTTAATCCTGTCAATACATTCATTATTTTTGAGGTGCCTCAACTCCTTGATTATAAAGGCGAGGCCTCTTAGACTGAGGACCTGGCTGTGGACGCGAGGAACAGAACCTCTGATAATGCCCATATAGGCCACACTGAAAACACTGGACTTGTGATCTATCCCTGCCCCTCCCCCTTGGCATGAAACGATTTGCACCAACTCCAGGCACTCGCAACGCTTTATCTAAGGCAGCAATCCGCTTGAGTACCGCTTCATCCTCCTTATCTCCTAAGAGGGCTTCAAGATAGCGCTTAAATTGCATGTTTGAGGCCCACATTTTATTTTGCATTGCTGTTAGCACTGCAGAATAAAATCCAGCTTTCGCTTGTTTTGTTTCCTTGGCCACAATCTTCAGATTCACTAGGTAATCAATTGCCTGGTCCTTCTGGAACAACGGAGAACGTATTAGGTGCTGTAAATCCTCCAACACTGATTCAACAGATTTCTTTTGGGAATCTTCCAACTTCTTAAGTCTCTCTAAGACACGAGCAAGATCACCCTCCTCCTATATAACAGAATTCAAAAGGCAAGATAAAAAATCACTGATCCATTCATTTCCTTTCTTTTCATTACTCGATCTCATGACTGATCAAGCACAGTATAATACAGGCTGAAAAAGAACAACACCGATTAGATTACAAGTTATGAAATATTGCATTACATTAAGTTAGATTAAATTAAATAAAAATTAAATTAAATTATCAAAACCTCAAACTTCCAGCAATAACGATGAACGCTCCTAGCCTCACAGGCCAAAAAATGTCTTAAAAACACACAACGGCAGAGCAGTCTTTCTTTCTTTTTTTTTTTTACATACCGTACAACTAAAAGCTACTACACGTAAGCTTGCACAAGCAAATGAACGGCGAATGATGCTCAGGCATCACACTCCAACGAAGCAAAGCACGGCAACAGAACTTTCTATATCAGCAAGCAATTTCTTAAACGAGGGGCTACAAAGTAAAATTCAAGCCACAAAAACAAAAAAGGCTAAAGGAGAAAAAAAAATTTATTCTTGCGCGCCAGCATCACACTACCACAACCGAAGGTGAACATAAAGCATTTCATTCCAAAAAGCAAAATACCGAAACTATTTTCGACCCCAGAAGCACAAACAAAAAATTTTTAAATGACAGTGCAGACAAAGAATCTTTCACGGCCTCGCAAGCAAAGAAAAAACTTTGATCCCCGCAGACAAAGAAAACTTTAACAGCCCCGCAGACAAAGCAACTTTCGCGGCTACGAAGACAAAGAAAATTTCTCGGCCTCCTAAGCAAAGGAAACTTCCAGGCAAATAAATCCAAACGGCCTCTCAGGCAAAAGAAAAAAAACTTCCTACACGGCCCCACAGGGGACGAAAACTTCAACGGCCTCGCAGGCAAAGGAAAACTTTCTGCACAGCCCCGCAGGCAAAGAAACTTTCACGGCCACGCAGAAAAAGAAAACTTTCACGGCCCCGCAGGCAAAGAAAACTTTCACAACCCCGCAGGCAAAGAAAACTTTCACAGCCCCGCAGTCAAAGAAAACTCTCACGGCCTCGCAGGCAAAGAAAAAACTTTCACGGCCCCGCAGGCAAAGAAAACTTTCACAGCCCCGCAGTCAAAGAAAACTCTCACGGCCCCGCAGGCAAAGAAAAAACTTTCACGGCCCCGCAGGCAAAGAAAAAACTTTCACGGCCTCGCAGGCAAGTAATTTTAACGGCCCCGCAGGCAAAGAAAAAACTTTCACGGCCCCGCAGGCCTGACACAATTTCACATCTACAGAAAGTAAACCAAATCTAAACTCTACCGATAAAAATTAGCCACTGAAATATAATCAATCACATGGTATCCGAAACAGAAGAAGATGCATACCTCTTGATTCTGAGCTTGTTGTGCCATAGGTTGGTCCTGAGCTTGCTGCGCCACGGCAGGTTGGCCTTGAGCAGGTTGAGGATTTTGAACAACTTGAGCTATCGCTCTACCGGCAACGGCTTGGGGAACTTGTTCCGCCATGTCGGATTGATCCGTCGAAAAAAGTTATAGAACGCTTCAAGCAGTACACAGCCCAAGGCCTCAAGTGAAGTGACAAGGAGCGATACAAAACAATCTATTATACCCAAAATCCCTAGGGACTAATTACCAATGCTAATTGAGCTAGCATAGTAATATTATTCAGCATTAGACCGTCCTTTTTCAGAAGACGATGGGATAGTGCCACTAGATTTTATTGGCATCTTTGCGAGTGTCTGTAGAATCCGACACGCGTAAATAAGAAGTCCCTGATGCAGGTATCGCTTGTGAAAACAGACGCTTGCTGAGGTTGCTAACAAAAATGCCTTCCTCCCGCCTCTCCATTCAACGAGGTGTATAGTCCTCCTCTTCTCGGCTTTAAGAACGCCCTGTTTGACAGCGATATGCTAAGCTGAGAGATCTTGTGCTCATGTTACCAATGTGTCTGTGTTGATATTGCAGGCTTTCAAGTCTCTTTTTCACAGATCTTTGTAGCGTAAATGTGGGCTCCCTCAGGGTCTGAGGCGCCTCCTGTGGAGGATGGAGTACATGTCGTTCATGTTGACGCGTTGGACTTCTGCGTTTGACACTTTGTCCTGCTACTTGATGCGTAAGATACGCCACAGGCACTCAGGTGGAAGCTGTTAGGTTTACTCTCATGCAGTAAAAAACTGTAACCTTGTAAAGCTGCAATCACAAACATAAGTTCTTGTTTCAAAGTTCAAAAGTCATAACGGCTAGGCAAAGAAATCCGAATAAAATTATAATTTAGTAGCAACAAAAACAAGGAAAGTTCGAGCATAACCCACCAGTTGGGTACATTGCCTTGAAAACCTGTACATCCCTCGCGATTCGGTTTAACATTGCATATCACCAGTGCAGCTGAGGATGGCAAAGTCTTTAGTTAAGATCGCCAAATGAAGATCGAAAAAGGGAATGAATGACAATGATCCATGAATTTTAACACTGTTGAAAATTACTCGTGATCTTTAGTTATTTGATCTTTCACGGTGAGGATTTATTAATACAATGTATATATTCCTTAATATATTTCCGAGGCAAATCTCATAATGATAGAGAATTTTCATTAACCTTTACACCCTTGCAAGGAAAATTTGTCTCACAACCAAGTGCGTGTCTACTTGATGATAATTTTCCTTAATTCTGTGACCCTAATGTTTGATTCATGGTTAATTATCCAGTAATCACTTCCGATACGTGTAAACCAAATGCATGCAAACAACTACGAATGTTTAATGATGACATCCGATGACTTTAATCGAATGTTAAAGACAACTCAAGAATTCTTCTATCTTCTTTAGAGTAGTTTGATATTCACGTTGAGGTAAATTTTATGTCAATTGGGCACCTAAGAATCTACAGAATACGGAAGCCCACAACTGTCACGGCAAAAGAAATAACCTCACGGCAAAAGAAAGACTCACGGCAAAAGGAAGAATCTTACGGCAAAAAGAAAAAGACTCAGGGCAAAAGAAAAAACAATGTCCTCACGGCTTAAAAGAGAGCGTGGGGCTGGGACGAGTTTTCAAGGTGCACCCTGAGATTAGAAAATGCGTGGAATACTTCGTTTCCCAAGCTGCTGTTAGACTGCTCTTTGTCGGTAAAAAAGTTAAAGAAAATATAGTTTCTTATAAAAACCTTTCTTTTTCCACAGCCTGAACAGTAGTTAACGCCTTCCGAAACTTGTTGCCCACAGTTGCGGCAAAATATCTTTCTGCCCACCTCATTCATTCGGAGATGGCGGGAAGGGATGATCAACCGCTGATCCCTTTACTGCATTTTCTTATCCCATGGTGCACCTCAAAAACTCGTCCTAGCCCCCACGCTCTCTTATATGCCGTGGGGACATTGTTACTGTTATTTCTTTTGCCATATGGTTATTTCTTTTGCCGTGAGTCTTTTACTTTTGCTATGAGGTTTTTCTCTTTTGTCGTGAGTCTTTTACTTTTGCTGTGAGGTTTTTCTCTTTTGTCGTGAGTCTTTTCTTTTAGCCGTGGGGTTTTTTCTTTTGCCGTGAGTCTTTTCCTTTTGTCATGGGGTTTTTTTCTTTTGCCGTGAGTCTTTCCCTTTTTGTCGTGAAGTTCTTCCTTCTGCCGTGAGTCTTTTCTTTTGCCGTGAGTCTTTTTCCTTTGCCGCGAGGTTATTTCTTTTGCCGTTACAGTTGTGGGCCACCGTAACAGAATAGCACAAATGATATTCAAATGAAAATTTTGTCTTTTTTTTTTTCTTTACCAGAGTGAAAAGAGTTGTGCAAACCTTCCTTAGTTGAACTAGGGGTGAAGACAAATGTGCATGATCTTTATTTCCTTCCACCCAGCGTTACGGAGGGACCAATCACACATTTTTTTCTTCCCAACAGCTCAGTTTCTCTTATTTAAACGATGCCGTAAACAGTCTATTCCGCAAGCAGGAGTTTATTGCCAATGAAATATCAATATAGGCAATCACATTTCACAGATCGGCCCATCCATTAGAGACCCTCTAGTTATAAACATTAAGATCGTGCCAGTATAATAATAGTCACTCTAATTGCCGAATCATGCAATAAGCTATCCCCCAATAGATCACAAACTATTTCTATGAGCTATAGAAGCGTTTTTGACTGAACAACTAACATTTGACTTGATCAGGTCGTCATTTGCCGGGTGACTTAAACAGCTAACAAAACGGCTTATTAGCGTTCATCATTATTTCATCGTGACGCGTTTGAGTCTGGGGGCCAATAGCATGATTAATTATCGAGAACTACAACAGGAACATGAAACTCTCTATCAATAGGTAATGATTGGTAAATCAAGCTTTTAGCCATTTTGTGGAATTGAACAAACCTTTGACGCTAAATCCTTTTGAGTATTACTTTTTGAGGTGGAGGCTTTAAAACCTGCCATAGAAAAAATAGCTTGATTGAGATTGTCCTTGACAAAACCTTTGCACAGCAGCTTCGTGCAAGATTCAAACTTTTGGTTCTTCCAAAATTAATCTCACAGCAAAGATACCCAAGACTGAAATTTATTCAAGTATATATTATTTAGTGTTTTTAAAACGCTGTTGCTGTGATTAATAGTTTTCAACAGCAGAAAAAATTATGCAGATGAAATTTTTTTCGAAACGAGAAAAAACTATTAATGATTAAAAACAGAACAGATAACTGAGCTGTTTTAAGAAAACAAACGACGGAAATAAATAGTTGACCATATTCACCGTACCTAAGCAATTCTACCAACCTACGTTGGCTACCAAAAGTAAAAAATTGAAAAAGTCATCCTAGATTTGTACGTTTGGAAAACTTTCGAAACTGATATAAATCTGCTCATTGACGCGAGAATAAAACGTTTCTTTTTGTTGGGCTTCAATTCGCATGAATTTCCTCTGTTTACAACAACCGTAGAAGAAAAACGCCACAGGGAACCTCTTCAACTATATATTCCTTGAATAAACACTCCATAGTCAAGCAAATGTTTATTGAAACTGGTGCTCGACTTTGACATATATTTCATTTCGTGCATTCGATCATTCAGGCGCTTAATATCTCAAAAACTTTGACAAGGGGTTTTTTTTTTCAAGCGGATACCTTATTATCTCGCCATCCTTTTCCTTAGAAACTTGGACCGTACCGGAGACCTAGTTACCTTCTTGGACTGAAATCGCTAATGTAATGCAGAGGGAGCACAATAGGATTTTACGGGGGTCAGTCATTGTATAATTATAACGCCTTTGGCACCTGACCACAGGCGACCCTTTAAAGGGATTAATAATAACAATTTATAGTCCAAGACGCATTACTCCAAGTCAATCCGTTGCATTAGGTTAAATTTTTCACCTAGTATTATTTTACCAATTTAGCTTTTTGTGCAAAGAGCCTAAACAGGAAGAGGGAAGTTCATTTCTAGTATTAATGATCATCTTGGCTTGAAATCAACAATTTCTATCGTAACCATAGCTACCAGACAGTAATAAAAGAAAACGCATTTGGCTCAATAACACTAAAGTTGAAGATTTTTGAAGATAAGAAATGATCATACTTAATGCATGGATAACTTGAGTTTGACTTTCATTCCATGATATAAATTGGATATCCACCCTTGACTCCTCTATTTCTGTGTAGTTGAAATCAAGCGAATTGAAATTTACCGAGATTCCAAATGTGGGTATAAAAAACATTTGGCGAGAAAACAGCTTCAGCTATTTGAAATAAACAAGATCATCATCCTTAATTTTTAGTTTCCTACAAAGGGATTCCTTTTTGAACCTTTTTCAGTGGTATTTCTTGAAGTTTATAATTACACCCCTTCTCGAAATTGTAGTTCCATCATTACCGTAAATAGAGAAAAGTGCCAAATTATGAAAAAGTCAGTGCTGGCCGTTCGAAGCTCGTCACAAATTGTGAAACTGGAAACGATAGGAAATTTCAAAGAGCGATGAGAGAGGATATAATGCTATGACGAAGCCCGCTTTCTTGGTTCAAATTACAGTAAGAATATATGGAGTTAATGACAAAAATCTTCTTCATTTGAAATATCCAACCTGTCAAAAATTATGGCCGTTTTTTCTCTCTGTACTTATAAAGATTTTCTTTAAAAAATGGTTTTGTCTCATCCCCCAAAAATTGATGGTTTGAAATATGGAAGTTGGTTTTCATGTCTCCTAATCAGAAAAATGAGTCGGAAACTTGTTGTTGGCTCACAGGTCAGGTTAAGTCTGCAGCAGTTTTATCTAACGAAGGAAAACCTGAAAATGTTTTATAGTTTAGAAGGTATTCCAATGAAGGCCTTGGAGGCCAGATCCGATACTGAATAGTTTGGCTGAATCAAATCATAAATTACGGCACACCTTTTCCAAATATCAATTTGCTATTATCCTTGAGATGGAGGTGGCGCTTAAAACAACATTCAGAGCATCGTCTCACCAAAGCTGTGGATTAAGTATAGCAGCTGTCTACACTGAATTGTGCTCAATCATTATGAGATATCTGAGGGGTTCTGCCTTGGCACTCTTTGTGCAATCTTGATTTATGGAGACATTGGTTGTAAGTTGCACGACAAATTTATGGAATTTCAGTAGTTTTAGGGGATATTTTCTGTTTCTTCAAACTAAAGAGCTTATTAGAACTCATTATTAATTAATCTTGACGTTCATGAAAGTGAGGGAAGATAAAACGACTAATTACTGAGGACTTCAAATACGAAAACCATCTTTAACTTGTTGCGTTCCTGTATTGCTTAGAGTAAGTAGAAGGTTCAAACAAGAAAATGTTTTGCTCGATGTAGTGAAGTGGGTGGTATCACAATCCATTAAAAAACATGGCATTTTTCATAATTTCTGATCTATTTCAAGATATAGTCTAAATTAAGACTTCATGTTTTTGGAAAATTAAAGTAAACTGTGTGAATGCAGGGCTAATGTCTTTTTTTGGCGGATAAGGTTACGCCAACCTGTCTGGTCCTACACACCGATTACCGTGAGCGCGAATGTCGGTACATAAGATTTTTATATTTTTATTGCCATGTTTTATGATTATTGCTTTTTGTCAATTTTTGACGCTTCGATCAATTTTATGAGGTGTTTCCCCTGATAATAATAATAAAAAAAAACAAGCAAAAAAAACGCTGAATCCATGGATCGATCTTGTAAATTTGAAGGTGTTGTTTCTCACAAATTCGACGGAACTTGACTTTTTATGTGATTGCAGCAACGGAGTATGTTCACCTAATGTTCTCAAGAATATGTTTCTAATTTAATTTCCTTAGGGAAGGAACCTTAGTCTTGTAAACTTGTTTTGTTGACATTAATGGTATTTAGCAAGGGTGTGTTATTATAATGAGCCATCGACAGTCTTCGTACAATCCTGATGCATCGAGGCATAAGTCGTAATTTTCTCGGCAAATTTATTGAATTTCTGTATTTTAAGATCAGGCGTTTACGAGAGATTTTCTGTATGTTCAATCTAAAGAGCTTCTTAGAACTCATCATTTATTGATTTTGACGTTAATGAATGTAAGGAAGGATGAAATAACTTATCAATTTGGACTTAAAATTATTTTAGTTTTGTGCGTTCCTGTATTATTTCGAATAATTAGGAGGGCAAAACGATAATATATTTTGTTCGATGTAGTAAAGTGGGTGGTACACCTTAACAACTACAAACACGATATTCGAAATTCAGAAAAGAGTTTCCCTCATTAATTTCCTCGAATTAGAACAAGAGACTCACAATCTATCAAAGAGCGTGACTTATTTTTTAATTTCAGATTCATTTCAAGATAAAGTCTTTTAAAATTAAGAATTCATGTTTTTGGAAAATGAAAGCGAACTGTGCGAGTGCAAGGTTAACATCTTTTCGGCGGATAAGGTTATGACAACCTGTCTGGTCCTTCACATGCACCGATTACCATATTTTATGAGAATTTTCTTTTCGTCAATTATCGACGCTTCAGTCAATCTTGTTCGGGGTTTTTCCCTGAGAATGAAAAAAAAAAAACGCTGAATCTATGGATCGATCTTGAAAATTTCAAGATATTGTTTCTCAGAAACTCGAGTGAACTTGGCTTTTTGTGTGACTGCATTACCTAGGCATATTCAGCTAATGTTCTTAAGTATATGTTTATAATGTTGTTGTCTTAAACGGAAACTACGAATCGTTTTCTATCCCCGTCTTATCTTATTTCCCATCATACTTTATTTCTACTTCGATGGTTGACAATAGTTGAAGCACTGAGCTTATAAGGTGTCGTATGACAAGACTAAAAACTTGAGCCTAACGAGCGTGATTTTAAAGAGAAGGAACCTTAGTCTTGTAAACTTGTTTTGTAGACATCAATGGTATTTAGCAAGGGTGTGTTATTATAATGCACCAAATCGGAAATTTGCAGAAGTATTTTGTTAGAAAAAAAAAAAAAGAACTGCTACGGTGAAGAGTTGCTTCATTCAAAACCACTTCAATCCTAACGGTCAGCTTATATTTACATGGACGGGTAATCGATTCCGTCAAAAATATTTCGTTGTTGGTTCACAGAAGGGAATTCAATAATTTGCATGGAAGAAAAATTGGCCGCTCTCAGCCAACTTAAGCGAAGTCATTTTTTATAGACGAACAATGCTGGCATTTGGAACAAACCACTCTTTCTGGTTTTAAGACATTGTTTATAAAAAAGGGGTAGCCGGTCTCATAAGTTTTTTGCCATTTTGTGGAATTGAAAAAAGTCTCCCAAGAGTTAATTTTTGAAGTGTAGGCTTTTAAACTTGCCAAATAACAAATAGCTTGATTGAGATGATCCTTAAAAAAACTTTTGTACAGAAGTTTCGTGCAATTTTCAAACTTTTTGTTTTCCAAAATTAATCTCACAGCAAGGATCTCCTAGACTGAAATTATTCAAGTTTATATTATTCAGTGTTTTTAAAACGATGTAGCTGTGATCAACATTTTTTAACTTCTGAAAAATGATGTAGGCGGACGTTTTTTTCGAAATAAGAAACAAAAAAAGAATGACCGAAAACGATGACAGATTAATGAGTTGTTTTAAGAAAACAAGTATCGGAAATATAGAGATGATTATATTCACCATAGCTAAGCAATTCTAACAACCTACGTTGGCTAACAAAAGTAAAAATTTTAAAATGTTATTTTGGGTTTGTACGTTTCGAAACTTCGAAAACTGAAATTAATCTGCCCATTGATGCAAGACAAGAACGTTTTTTTTCGGCTTCAATTCGCATGAATTTCCTCTGTTCACGATAACCGTTCGAAGAAAAAAGCCACAGGGAACCTCTTCACTAATACATCTCTTTAATAAACCCTCAATAGTCAAGCAACTGTTTATTGAAACTGGTGCTTGACTTTGTCATATATATGTAATTCCGTGCATTCGATCATTTAGGTGCTTAATATCTCTTACACTTTGACCAGTGATAATCTTCTTTGAAGAATACTCTAGTATATCGCCCTCATTTTCCTTAGAAACTTGGACCGTACAGGAGACTTTTTTACCTTCTTCGACTGAACTCGCTAATGTAATGCAGAAGGAGCACAATAGGACTTTACGGGGGTCAGTCATTATATAATTATAACGCCTTTGGCACTGGACCACAGACGACTCTTTCAAGGAATTAATAATAACAATTTATTGTCCAAGACGCATGACTCCAGTCAATCCGTTGCATTAGGTTCAATTTTTCACCTAGTATTATTTTACGAGTCTAGCTTTTGGTGCAAAGAGCCCAAACAGGAAGAAAGCAGTTCATTTCTAATATTAATATCCATCTTGGCTTGAAACCAAGGGTTTCTATCGTAACCATTGCTACCAGACAGGAATAAAAGAAAACGCGTTTGGCTCAATAACACTAAAGGGGGCACCAAAGAACGTTGGATCTTTCAAGGTAGAAGAAATGATCATATTTAATGCATGGATAACTTGAGTTTGACTTTCATTCCATGATATAAATTGGATATCCACCCTTAACTCCTCTATTTCTGTGTGGTTGAAATAAAACGAAAAGAAATTTACCGAGCTTCCAAATGTTGGTATAACAAACTTTTGGCGAAAAAACAGCTTCAGCTATTTGAAATAAACAAGATCATTATCCTTAATTTTTAGTTTTCTACAACGTGTTTACTTCTTGAACCTTTCTCAGCGATATTTTTTTTATGTTTATAATGACACTTCTTCTCGAAATTGTAGTTCCGTCATTAACATAAATAGAGAAAAGTGCCAAATTATAAAAAGTCAGTGCTGGCGGTTCCAAGCTCGTCATAAATTGCGAAACTCGAAACGACGGGAAATTTCATAAAACGATGACAGAGGATTTAAAACAGCGACAAAGCCCGCTGTTTGGGTTCAATTTGCGGTAAAGGAAAATCGAATTGATGGCAAAAATCTACTTCATTTGAAACATACAACTTCCCAAAAGTTATGGGTTTTTTTTCTGTAATTATAAAGATTTCCTTTCACAAATTGTTTGTCCTGTCCCCAACTTAAACTGATATGCAGCTCGTTTGAATCCCGTTCATATTATGAGAGAAGTGATGATTTGAAATAGAAGAACCTTGAAAAATATGGAAGTTGATTTGCAAAGCTCCCAATAGGAGAATGAGTCGGGAACTAAATGTTGACTAGCAGGTCTCGTTTACCTTAAGTCTGCAGCAATTTTATCTAACATAGGAAACCTGACAATTTTTTTTATAATTTAAAAGATATTCCAATGAACGCCTTAGAAGCCAAATACTAAACTGGATGGTTCGGCTGAATCCAATCATAAATTACCGAACACCCTTTCTAAATATCAAATTGCTATTATCCTTAAGAGCAAGGTTGCGATTAACAACAACATTCAGAATTTCGTCTCATTAAGGCCCTGGATTAAGTATAGCAGCTATCTACACTGGATCATGCTCAATCATTATAAGATATCTGATAGGTTCTGCCTCGACACTTTCTATGCAATCCTAATGTACCGAGACATAGGTCGAAAGTTTCTCAAAAAAAAAAATGATCAGATTTCTGTAGTTTAACATTTACCGTTTACTGGAGATTTTTTGTTTATTCAAACTAAAGAGCTTATTAGAACTCATCATTAATTAATTTTGACGTTAATGAATGTGAGAGAAGATAAAATGACTAATTACTAAGGACTTCAAACAAGAAAACCATCTTTAACTTGTTGCGTTCCTGAATTGTTTAGAGTAAGTAGGAGGGTCAAACAAGAAAATATTTTGCTCGATATAGGTAAGTGGGTAGCACAGCTTAACAACTATAAACACCATAAAGGGAGTTTCCTTTACTCATTTCGTCTACTTAGAACAAGAGACTCACAATCCATCATAGAACGTGGCTTATTTTATAATTTCTGATTTATCTCAAGATATAGTCCAAATTAAGAATTCGTGCTTTTGGAAAATGAAAGTGAACTGCGCGAGTGCAAGGCTAATGTCTTTTTTCAGCGGATAAGGTTACGCCAACCTGTCTGGTCCTACACACCGATTACCATTATCCGTATGATTGCGTGAGCGGGAATATCGGTACATAAGCCGGATCTATTTTTTTTACCATGTTTTGCGAGTATTGCTTTTTGCCAATTATTTACGCTTCGTTCAATTTTTATAAGGTGTTTCCCCCTGATAATAAAACAAAAAATAACATAAAATAAAATAAATTTTAAAAAGCGCTGAATCTATGGATCGATCTTGGTAATTGGAAAATGTAGTTCTCGAGGGAACTTGACTTTTGATTACATTATCGGAGTATGTTCACCCAATATTCTCAAGAATATGTTTATGATGATTTTGTCTTAAACGCACTCCATTGAATATAATTATGAAGCAATTGAATGTTATGGCAATTTGTGTAGCAAAATCCCTGAGTATAATCAGTAAGTTAACACCAAAAGAATCGTAGCTCGCCAAATCCAAAGTCTTCCCATAAAGCAAAACAGAAAACATCACAAATGCGTTTATAAGCAGAAATTAAAACGCGTGCCCACGTATTTTATTTGCTTCAATCATTTCAATGGCTCTGAAGCGACTGTTATTTACTTTGTTAACATCCCATTTTCAATGCAAAAAGGTCGGTTTCTATCACTTAATCCATTATTGAATGCAGGTGGTGTTATTTCTGTTTAAAACTAATTTATTTCAGCCCGTGTTATTTCCCATCACTCTTTATTTTTATTTTGCTGATTCACAACAGTTGATGCACTAAGCTTATAACGGGTCGTTATGACAAAACTTAAATCCTGAACTCATTAAACATGACTTATAAAGGAAGGAACCGTAGTCTTGTAAACTTGGTTTGTAGACATTAGTGGTATTTAGCAAGGGTGTGTTATTATGTTAGTTGATTATATTCGAAATGAGAAAAAAAAATGAATGACTAAAAACGATGACAGATAAATGAGTTGTTTTAAGAAAACAAGGTACGGGAATATAGAGATGATTATATTCACCATAGCTAAGCAATTCTAACAACCTACGTTGGCTAACAAAAGTAAAAATTTTAAAATGTTATTCTGGGTTTGTACGTTTCGAAACTTCGAAAACTGAAATATAAATTTGCCCATTGACGTAAGACAAGAACGTTTTTTTTCGGCTTCAATTCGCATGAATTTCCTCTGTTCACGATAACCGTTCGAAGAAAAAAGCCACAGGGAACCTCTTCACTAATACATTTATTAAATAAACCCACAATAGTCAAGCAACTGTTTATTGAAACTGGTGCTTGACTTTCTCAAATATGTGTCATTTCGTGCATTCGATCATTTAGGTGCTTAATAACTCATGAACTTTGACCAGGGATGATCTTCTTTGAAGGATACCCTGGTACCTCGCCCTCATTTTCCTAAGAAAGTTGGACCGTACAAGAGACTTAATTACCTTCTTCGACTGAACTCGCCAATGTAATGAAGAGGGAGCACAATAGGATTTCATGGGGGTCAGCCATTACATAATTATAACGCCTTTGGCACCTGACCACAGGCGACATTTTCAAGGAATTAATAACGACAATTTGTAGTCTAAGACGCATGACTCCAGTCAATCTGTTGCTTTAGGTTAAAAGTTTCTCCTAGTATTATTTTACTAGTGTAGCTTTATGTGCAAAGAGCCTAAGCAGGAAGAAAGAAGTTAATTTCTAATATTAATGATCATCTTGACTTGAAACCAACAGTTTCTATCGTAACCATAGCTACCAGACAGTATTAAAAGAAAACACATTTGGCTCAATAACACTAAAGTTGGGCACCAAATAACGTTGGATCTTTGAAGGTAAGAAATGATTATATTTAATGCATAGATAACTTGAGTTCGATTTTCATTCCATGATATAAATTGGATATCCATCCTTAACTCCTTTATTTCTGTGTGGTTGAAATAAAACGAAAATGAAATTTACCGAGCTTTCAAATGGGGGTATAATAAACTTTTGGCGAAAAAACAGCTTCAGCTATTTGAAATAAACAAGATCATTATCCTTAATTTTAGTTTCCTACAATGGGTTTACTTCTTGAACCTTTTCTCAGCGATATTTGTTTATATTTATAATGACACCCCTTCTCGAAATTGTAGTTGCATCATTACCGTAAAAAGAGAAAATTGTCAAATTATGAAAAGTCAGTGCTGGCGGTTCCAAGCTCAATTGTGAAACTCAAACGACAGGAAATTCCATAAAGCGATGAGAGAGGTATTAATGCAGTGACGAAACCCGCTGTTTGGGTTCAATTTTCGGTAAAGAAAAATATAGTTGATGATAAAAAATCTTCTTCATTTGAAATATTTAACTTGCCAAAAAATATGGTTATTTTTTTCTGTACTTATAAAGATTTCCTTTCACAAATTGTTTTGTCCTATCCCTAACTTAGACTGATATGCAGCTCGTTTGAATTCTGTTCATATTATGACAAAAGTGATAATTTTGAACTAGAAGAACCTTGAAAAAATATGAAAGTTTATTTGCATGACTCCCAATCAGAAAAATGAGTTGGCAACCAAATTCTGGCTTACAGATCTCGCTAACCTTAAGTCTGCACCAATTTTATCTAACGGAGGAAAATCTGAATATGTTTTGTAATTAAAAAGGTCTTCCAATGAAGGCCTTGGAAGCCAGATCAGATACTGGATGGTTTGGCTGAATCCAATCATACATTACGGCACACCTTTTTCAAATATCTATTTGCTATTATCCTTGAGATGGAAGTGGCGCCTAAAACAACACTCAAAGCGTCGTCTCGCTAAGGCTCTGGATTAAGTGTAGCAGCTGTCTACACTGGGTCGTGCTCAAGTGATATAAGGTGTCTGACGGGTTCTGCCTCGACACTCTTAATTCAATCCTGATGTATGGAGACATAGGTCGTAAGTTGCTCGGAAAATTTATGAAATTTCTGTTGGTTAATATTCACTGTTTACGGAAGATTCATTGTTTATTCAAACTAAAGAGCATATTCGAACTCATCATTAATTCATTTTGCAGATAATGTATGAAGATAAAGTGACTAATTACTTAGGACTTCTAATTACTGCATACCTGTATTATTTCAAGTAAGAAGGAGAGTCAAACTAAAAAGTATTTTGCTCAATGTAGTGAAGTGGGTGGTACAACTTAACCACTACTAACACGATATTCGAAATTCAAAAATTAGTTTCCCTTAATCATTTCGTCGAATTGGAACAAGAGACTCCCAATCCATCCAAGAACGTGGCTTATTTTATAATTTCAGATTTATTTCAAGGTATAGTCTAGATAAAGAGTTCATGCTTTTTGGAAATGAAGGAAAATCAATGTTATGGAAATTTGTGTAGTTAAGTCACTTTTTGAAATCTATAGATGAACACCGATACAATCGTCCCGCTCAAAGCCAAAGTGTTTCTAACTGGCACAAAGGGAGACATTGAAAACGTGTTCATTCGCAGACATTAAAACGTTTACCCTCGTATGTTATTTGCAGGGGCGGGACTGACTGCTGTTATCTTTGTTAAAATCCCATTTTCAATACTAATAGGTCTGTTTCCATTACTTAATCCACTATTAAATGCAGGTGGTCGACACGAAATTGATAGCATACTTAAGGCATCAATATTGTGCTCCATTGTCTTGAGAAAGTATGGAACTTTCAGCGTTTCTAATATTCGCAGTCTGGACTTCATCGATGACTTACTTGACGTTTGGTAAAGGTGAGTTGCAAAATGTGAATCATTTTCTATCCCTATATTCATACTTCAGCCCGTGCTATCTTATTTTCCATCATTCTCCATCACCATTTCGCTGATTCACGACAGCTGATGCACTAAGCTTATAACGTGTCGTTATGACAAAACTAAAACCTGATTCTTCTCATCAAATGTCTTGTTTAACTTACGTTCTCGACGTATTTGCTATCATACTTTGGTGAGATCCGAGAATTTTTTTACTCAAAATTTAATTTTTTTTGCGACGGAAAAGTGTATCTTATAATCATATTTCAATTTGTCTATTTTAGAGCGAGAGCGCGCAATGGTGTTTCCGGACTACTACTTCTTTGCTGAAAGACGTCTGGTAAACCATGTTACTGTAAAGAAACGCGTCAAGAACTTGGATGATTGTGAACTATTTTGCTACCTGAACGACAATTGTGTCAGTGTTAACTTCAAAAAAGATCCTAACAGTAATGGAGCAGTTCACATCTGTGAACTTAATAACGCCACGCATCTGAAATATGACAGTGACTTGATAACTGATGCCAATTTTTATTATCGTGGCTCGAAGGTGAGTTACAAATCGATTTTTCGAAATTGTCGCCTTTGAATAATATAAAAAGAAGTACAAATGTTTATGCAAATGTTCGTGTATTCGATCATTCGGTATTTAGTTTCTTCTTCAATCAATCCCTCTTTCTTTCTTTTGTCTTTTCATTGTTTTTTTCTTCTTCAGAACGCCTGTGACGAGAGTTCCCAGTGCCAAAATAACGCAACTTGCCTAGCTGGATTTACACTCAAGGGATATCTATGCTTGTGTCCTCCTGGATTCGAGGGAGAACTATGTAAAAAGGGTAAGAGTCTGAGTCAATACTTGAAATGACGTATATGAGATTTCTTCTGATTTCCAATGCTGGTATGACAACTGTTCTTTAGTTGTTGAAAGAGGCGTGAATTTGTCTTATTGTATATTGTGCTAAATCATCAACGCAAATTTCTTACTATAGTTTATTGAGCGTTTGTATTGTTTTCTTCGCTCGCTCGTTTGTATATGTTCGTTTTGTTTTGTTTTGGTTTGTCTGCTTGTTTGCTGTTTATTATTAAGTGATATCTTTTTACAGAGATAACTTGTTTTCTTCATGTACGATAGTCTTGCGTTCTTGCAATCCAGCAAAAGGTTGAAAACAACCATGGCTTGCACTCTTAAACACGGTAATGGCTTATGTACGGCAATTTTTGCGTAATTTTGAAATCCCATTTTTCTTATCTCTGATTTTTATAGACGTTGACGAGTGCAAAGGAAACCACCCTTGTCACGAGAATGCAAACTGCAGCAACACCATTGGATCACATATATGCGATTGTCAGCCTGGATATACTGGAAATGGACAAAATTGCACAGGTGAATTCGGAATAACAAGGAAATGCAGTCATGGTATTTCTTTCGTTGTTTATATAACGTGTTTTGTGCTCCCGTGGCAAAATAAGAGCAGTTTATAGCGTATGCTTTAGGTAGTATTTGCTGTTCAAATTTAGCGGTTTGACCTCCAGGTCTAACCCGAAAATCGCATGAAACCAGAAAATAGCAAACGAGTATTTTACTTTTTTCATACATGTACATACATGACTCTTGAATGAAAACCAAATCCGATTTTTTTATTCTTCTCTCTTTTTTCCCTTTTTTTAACAGATATTGACGAATGCAAAACATATCCCAGCAAATGTCAAGTAAACGCTACCTGTAACAACACAAACGGATCATACGTTTGCAAATGCAAACCTGGCTATACTGGAGATGGACGTAATTGTGCAGGTACAATCAATAATCTCAGAAGCCTTCAGATTCCTTTTAACTACTATAATGGATGTTGTTGTTGTTGTTTTTTTGTTTTGATACCGTGGACAACCAAGTTTTAATTTTTGTAACATAGATAGAGGCACTAACCCGACTTTTGTAGTGATAACAGAGAACTTGTTTTCTATATTTGAGAAAATCTCTTGTTTTCGCAATCCAGAAAAGGGTTGACAACAGCTATAGCTTGCAATCTTCAACAAAGTAATGGCTGACACGCAGCAAATGTTACGTAATTGTGAGATCCTTTTCCCGCCTGTGATTACTTAGATGTTGACGAGGGTAAAGGAAACAATCTTGTCGCGAGAATGCAAATAGAGGAGCGTCGACTGTGCTCCGTTTTGTTGTAAAGCACGCAGTACTACCCTTTGAAATATTGCGAGGTGCTGTCCAACAAAATGACAAAAAAAAACCCTATATGCAGTTAATGTGCGTGCTCCATGATAAGAGCTAGGAAAAATATTTTTTTTTATAGTATGTCACTATCACGGTGGCTGACTTTTTACTTTTTATCGCTTCAGGTTGTCGTTGACATCCGATTTTATTACGGACAATTTTTTTTTCTTTTTTTCTCTGTAATAAACGTTAGTGTTGAAAGACTACAAGTGTCAAATTTTGTGACATCAAGTTTCATTTATCTTTTATCGACATTTGCCCTATTTCTACCTTTTTAATCTTCTCGGCTCGTACTTCGCGTGCGCGAGCGGTGATATATCCCCTTTAACACATTTGGAACTCTAAAAATATCGCGGTTGACACTGTACTCGCTAACGTCAAAGAAATGACATTCAATGCATTCTTTCCCGCTCAGAGATTTTGGCGGTAAACAATTTTTGGAATTGTTAGATTCTATGTGACGGCAAATAAAGTAATGATAGTGAGCGGTAGAAATAGCGCAGTATAAGTGCAGTATTATTATCAGCATTATTATTATTATTATTATTTCTATTATCACCATTATTATTATTACTATTATTATTATTATTACTATTGTTATTATTATTATTATTATTATTATTATTATTATTATTGTTATGATTATAAAAGTTCTAGTGCTGGTCGCTAAACTGCTACAATTTTAAGACGCTAGAAAAAAACTGTTTGACTATTGATTCTAATAACTACAATCATCTTATAGTTATCATGTTACTCTTTAGCCGATCCGTGTTATAATTATAAAGAACTGAGCAAGGCCAATAGAAAGAGCAGTCACCCTACACCGGTTAATGGCCCAGAGCTGTGTGACAAAAAACTCCCCGCGGGATGGTATCGTTTTGTGGGAGCTGCAGGAACAAAAATGCCAACAACACGTGTACCAGCATTTAAATGTGGAACAGCCAACTCTGGCTGGTTGAATGGTGCTCATCCTTCAGTGGAAGATGGTGAAGTTTCCAGGATGATATGCTTTAGTGATCAACAAACCGGTTGCAAATATGAGAAAGGAATTTCAGTTAAAAATTGCGGATCCTACTTCATTTACCAACTTTACCCATCTCATTGTCCCTCACGCTACTGTGGTACAGACTGAATGTGAAGCAAAAAATTCAAGGAATAAGAGGACTCATAAATTGATCCTCACGTACACGTACTTCAGGGATTTTGCCGAGTCCACTTTTTTCAGATAATCATTAATTTCTTATATAGATTTTACACGCTGATAATGTCTTGTTAACTTGCAATCCAAAATGCTTGGAATTTCACATTTTACAAAGCTTTCGTAATAATAATCAGAAATAATCAACTGTTGCTAAAAATACTACTAACAAACAAAGAAGAAAATAGTAGAATAGAAAATGCTTAAATAGCGAGATCCTAGACAAGTAAGCAAGCGAAACATGACGAAACTCGTTTCTCATAACAGTAGAAGCTGCCGTACTGGACGCAATACATAGCACGGTGTGATAATAATAGTTTCAGTTTATTTAAAAAAAAAAGATACCGCTTTTGTTAGTGCTAATGATGTGTGCAACTTTAATAAATATATTTATCTTAACCCGAGCATTTTCAACTAAGAGTCGCGAATCGAACGTCTGATTATTTGCAACGTCTATGATTTAGTAAACATCTGATAGCGGAAAAAACGCGATCAAATTTCCAGCAGATGCATGAACCAAAGCCGGGTGCAGTGACTTTGAACAGCCTGAAAACGAATCTGTACGCTGTTAATGCTTTTATAGCTAGTTCACTATTGATATGTAAGGTCGATATTCGTCACTATTAACATACGTGAGTAATATTGGCCACCATGATCGTAAACCAGAGATAATAGAGGAATAGGAATAAGTCATGACTGGAAATTGGTTACCAGCTTGAATTACATGTAGTGCGTACATGTATAAGCTTTCGCAGTAAGGATTGCTTAATAAAACCTTACGTACTCCTTGTTTTATTTCCAAGCAAGCAATGCTAGTGTTCAATCATTATTTATCACTAAATGGTACCAATATCAGTTACTGATAGCAGTTAGGGGTTAGCGAAAGACTGTTGAAAGACTACAAGTGTCAAATTTTGTGACATCAAGTTTCATTTATCTTCTATCGACATTTTCCCTATATCTACCTTTTAAATCTTCTCGGCTTGTACTTCGCGTGCACGAGCGGTGATATATCCCCTTTAACACATTTGGAACTCTGAAAATATCGCCGCTGACACTGTACTCACTAACGTCAAAGAAATTTGCATTCTCTCCCGATCAGAGATTTTGGCGTTAAACAATTTTTGGAATTGTTAGATTCTATGTGACGGCAAATAAAGTAATGATAGTGAGCGGTAGAAATAGCGCAGTATAAGTGCGGTATTATTATCAGCATTATTATTATTATTTCTATTATCAGCATTATTTTTTTTTTAGCATTATATTTTTTTTTATTACTATTACTATTATTATTATTATTACTATGATTATTATTACTATTATTATTATTATTATTATTATTATTATTATTATCATTATTATTGTTATGATTATAAAAGTTCTGGTCCTGGTCGCCAAACTGCTACAATTTTAAGACGTTAGAAAAAAACTGTTTGACTATTTATTCTAATAACTACAATCATCTTATAGTTATCATGTTACTCTTTAGCCGATCCGTGTTATAATTATAAAGAACTGAGCAAGGCCAATAGAAAGAGCAGTCACCCTACACCGGCTGATGGCCCAGAGCTGTGTGACAACCAACTCCCCGAGGGATGGTATCGTTTTGTGGGAGCTGCAGGAACAAAAATGCCAACAACACGTGTACCAGCATCTAAATGTGGAACAGCCAACTCTGGCTGGTTGAATGGTGCTCATCCTAGATTGGAAGATGGTGAAGTTCCCCGGAGGGTCTGCTTTAGTGACAAAAAAACAAACAGCCCTGATTGCGAAGACACCAAATCTCACCGAATTTCTGTAAAGAACTGTGGATCCTACTTTATTTACAAACTTGGCAAGCCATCTAAGTGTTTTAAGCGCTACTGTGGTACAGACTAAATACCACGCAGAAAAAAAAAACAACAACAACAACAACACGCTAAAAACTTACCTTAATAGATTGATTCATCAGATCGGTTTTATATTTAAGTACTTGCAATCGGTTCAGTTGCAAATGGCAAATTTTTGCTACAATAAACCAATATTAACCTAAATTCTTTTCTGTACAGCAATTAGATTTTTAGGTTGGAACACATAAAATCTGAAAATTTCCTAGAGTTAGGGAGTTTTTGGGATAACATAGATATATATGTAAATGAATAGAAAACCAATAAAAATAAAACACTATGCTCTTTACCACACTCGTTTTCAATTATATTATTTGCATGTATACATGAAGACACCAACTACACTAAATTCAAACAGAAGATGACGGTGCATCTTTTACAAGCTTTGATTCACTATTACGACAACTGAGAACGAGTCTCATGTAGCAAACTAAACGTGATTAGTGTCGGAGGGAAGTTCAATTTTCCTTCCCGCTTCCACAGCAAATTATTATGATCAATCTCGGTGAAGATGCACACGAACACTAGCCGTGGTCTCGCGCGCTGACTCTGACGCTGAATTTCCTATTTGACGTGTTGGCTCCCACTAAAAATTATTGGAAGTGGATCGGTCATAAGGTTGAATGAGAAACTTGGCCCACTACTTTCCTTGAATTTGTGCGCCACCGTTTCCGTTTTTGCTCACAGTGATATTATCTAAAGTGCACTGCGTTTATTTTCATGATAAGAAAATCACGCCTTCCTCGTTGCAAATCGAAAGTCTTAGAAAAAAACGATAATTTCTTCTTATTGTTTGTGAACAACGAATAGCGACTCCTACCTAATAACACGTTAAACATCTCAGACATTTGTAGTCACAGTCATTTAAATGTGCGCATGTTACTGAATCAAGAACCTCATTGAGTCTACACTGAACGCCGCTAAATCGTTGGTCGTTGACTCAAAATTTGTAACGCACTGAAAACAAATACCAAAGTGCACTGTCTGAGGAATCATGGATTTTCTAGCGTTTTTCACATTCCCCCTCCTTACTGCATTGATGACTTCTATAGCGTTTGACGAAGGTGAGTTACATACTGTGAATTATTGATAATTCGATCGCTAAACCTATATGAGTGTATGCTGATAGCGTTCGACGGTTTTATTTCATTTATCGGATACATTTTTGTTTAAGCGGTGAGCTAATATAATCTTCTATACTTACATGCAGATGAAAATTAATCAATGGAGAGATGATTGTTGCTCCAAAGCTTAAAACCCGAATTCGACTGGTATGAAGAGGTAGACGAGAAATTATTTCTAGTAACCTGGTTTTGTAAACATGGACAGGTGGAATTTAACATTTGTGTGCTTATAAATCATCCTTTTGTCGACATTTTTTAGACAGTTTCAAAGTAACCAAATCAACAGTAGCTAAGAATTCATTCAAGCTAATGAAATTTCACGCCTTTTCCTCTTAATTACGTACAGTATGAATGCTTTTACTCAAAACTTAATTTTGTATCGTAAAGAAGCATATTTTGCCGTTTGAGAACTTTTTCGCAATACAAATTCGTGTGATGAATTACAGTAGCTTATCTTTTCCTAGTTTTGTAATCAGTTATTTCAAAGGATTGAAGGAAAACTCTCAGATTCCTAGGGAAGTAAAATCTTGAAAGACGAAACGCTCTTTAAAACAATTTTGCAGGTGCCTCGAGCAGTTTGCAGATGTTAACTTTTCCAAACATTTATCACAATGCAACCTTACCCTCGACATTAGAGAAATACCATATAGTTTATTTATGTTATCTATTATTTGTTGGTTTCATCAAAATTCTCCAAGGCTAAGCAAATGGTTCAAGCAATGTTATATTTTTGACATGTAAATCATGTTGACTTTTACCTGAGGGGAGCTATGAAATGTGAAAAGGGATGCATTTTTTTAAAAATCATGGAAAAGCAAAAAGATCATCAAATCAATAATGAGACAACTATTTAATGCCTTCCGTCGCCGTCAAGTTGAGAAAAGTTTGAACCTGAATTGATACATTACGATTAATCTACAACATGATGCCAGACAAGAATGATTGATCTCAATGCAAACTAGCATGAATGTCTTCTTTTCCTGATAACTTTTACAATAAATAGAGCCACAGGGGACCTCTTCAATTGTGTATACCTTTATTAAACAAACTATAGTCAAGCACCTGTATTTTTAAGATAATCAAAACTATAGCAAAATTCTGGTTATCAGTAACCCGATATATGATGGCAATAGGACCGAGTGGAGTCCAATTCAGTCTGTAATCATGCCAGTGATAAACAAAATCAAAATTAATTAAAACTAAGAAAAAAAACAGTGATAAACAAAATCAAAATTAATTAAAACTATGAAAAAAATCGAGAAAGAAACTAGACATCGGTTATACGTTTTCATAAAAAATAAAACCAAAACAAAAAAACCAGGCACCCACTTCGCAGTCGTTCGATTTTGTTAATCTCTCCTATGATTACAGACCGAAATGGGCTACACTCGATTCTATTATCATTATAAATAGGGAATAAGAAAAGAGAAGAAAAAGAAAAAGAAGGAAAAGAAGACCGTCCCCGTTGCTTTTGCTTTTCTTATCGCCTCTGTCCTATTTCCTAAAAGGCGACAAATTACTACAGAACAAAGAAAAAAAACAAAACAAAAACAAAAAAAACATATTGATAACCTCTTTAAATGATAAGCATTAGCTTATAAACTGTTAAAAATCTCTTGATGCCAAATTACGTTATAACACTACTTCCTTTTTTTAAAACGGGATCGCACAATGCTTTCTCCAGATTACTACTTCTTTGCTGAGAGACGATTGGTAAACCATCTATCGAAACAACAAAAGTCGAGAACTTAAACGATTGTGAGCTTTTGCACTACCTGAACGACAACTGTGGCAGTCTTAACTTCAACAAAGATCCAGAGAATAATCTTGAGAATGATAGTCCTAGACACAGCTGTAAACTAAGTATGGAGTATGATGGTGATCTGAAAATTCACTGTAAAATGAAAACAGTTGATTTGCCCCAAAAAATGGGGACAAAACGAGTGAGTCCAGTTTGGTACATCAGCGACACACTCGCTGCCTCGCGTGCCACTTTTTTTTTTTCTTACCACATTTTGACGTCCTCTGTGATCTATTACTGAACAGACACACGGCAACTTGGAATCTATTTGTTAAATATATATATATATATATATATAGAATGTTTTTCTAAAACTATAAGCCTAAACACTAGACATGGAAGTGGAAATTTGACTTCATACTCGTAATTTGTCTCCCTTTCAAGGCTTGAAAAAATAATGCATGACTCCCAAAATATCTGAAAAGAATCAGCTATTTCATGTACAATATTTATCTAATGGTTTGACAACAGGAAATTTTTAAAAAATTGCCAAATCAAAAAAACTGAAATAAAAGAAGGCAAAACTAAATACAACCCCAAGGTACTTGAACCTTGTATCTGGATTTCATAAGCAAATGGGCTCAGTAATTTTACCTGTTCATTTTTGTACCAAAGTAGCCGTTTTTTGGACTCATACCTCCAAAATGGTCACAACTTCATTCAATACATATGTGATGACAAACACACAAGAACAAAGGTCATAAACTTAAAAGGTCAGAGTGATTATTCTGCACCTTTTTAGTTTTAGGCAAGAGACTCTGCACCACAAAATTGTCTCCAGCCAGCCATAGAAGGATACTCTGCAATAATTTGTTTTGCAATCCACTGCTGTTCAGAGAGCTTTGGGTTGCTGGTGAGATATCCCTCCTGGATATTCAACTCTGTAGAGGCAGAGTACAGTACAAAAATTAAACAAATGAGCAAATTAATTTGTTGTTGGAGAACAGTAATTTTTACAACTACAAAGTTTCCATATAAGTAAACAAACTATGCATAAAAAGAAAAAACACAATCATGGTTCAATGATCATCAATGATGTACTTTCACCAAACTATATATGTACTTATCAAGAAAAGAAATCATACCTCTACGCACTTCAGCTTTAGTGCAGTATTCATGAATTAAGAAGGATTGCTTGTAGTCTTAAAAAGACAAAACAAAGATGACTTTCTTACCCTCGATGGTAGTTGGAATTTTGAAAGCCATCTAGGAGGAACCTAGGTAAACATTTGTTTTCAAAAATATTTAACTGTCTGATAACACCCTATCAATTCACTTATTTTTTAATTAACCATATTTAAACATTAAGTTTACTTTGCTTTGTGCATGGAGCAAGTAAATACGTTTCTAGTATATTTCAATAAAAATATAGCAAATCTCACCATTTTTTGTGGGTGCCTTCTTCAACATATCTCTCCTTTACCAGAGCAACTGGCACCTTGTGTGTTTTCCTTTGGGATAAAATCGAAAGAAGGTAATCGATGATGTACTCTTTACCATCCTACTAAGTATAATCTATATATAAGACCTTACCTAGACAATGCTCAGTTCTGCCGCCTCTTCAGTAAAACAGAGATCCTTGGGCGATCTACCCTTTTCTTTCGATGCAGATGTCACTTGTGAATTTTCATAATCGCTCTTTGAAACGTCTTACTCGAAGGACTTGATCCTGCACGCCGAAAGAGAAAGAGCCAAAAAAATCAGCCTAAGTGGATACAAAAAAAGACATAGACATAAGAATATCAGATAATCTTTGCAAGGAAAATATTAAGAATTCAGAGTGAGAGATCCTAAAATCAGAGAATCTTGAAATAAGTTAAGTCCATCTTGTGCAAACACAGTATTCGAACTGAAACCGTTTCTATCTGTCGGCGCCAAAATTAGAACACATGATCTTACTTGGGAAGCCGCTGAGACTCAGTTAGGCTCATGAGAAAAGGCGAACCCCGATGCGTCAAGTTATCTGTAATTATCGTACCGACGAAGAACTCGTGTCACCTCCAGGTTCAGCGTTCATTGCGATCAATTTTTTGAACTTTAGACGCTCTTTTATAATAGGGAAGTAATACCTGGGTTCGTCTGCATCTTGGGCGATGGCAAGGAGATGTTGGTCATCGCAACCATCCTTCTCTGCGATATATATGATACGAAGAAGGATTAATGGTGCGGTTAAGTTTGTGTGTGTGAAGTTGTAATTAAACGTTATGTTAAGCAAATTTTTTTCGCTTACTTATCCTTTCTTAAGTCTCATCCCATGCGACTGGAGCCAAGAAACAGCCTCTCCAGTGATGAATGAATTCGCTGCTATAATTCATTATTGTGTCTGACGCACGCGGTCTAGGTTCTAATGTGATACTCAGAAGGAGCTGCTAAGGCGCACTAGCAAAAGAAAGACGCATTTTGGAGAGAAATCCCTTATACAACAAAATTTTACTCATTAAAAAATTCAAAGCAGTAGGTTGAGTAAGCCAATGGATAGTTTATTGCGCCGGTTTCGATCATGTGAAAGATCTGCTTTTACCGGTATATGGCCCTTACAACATTCCCGAATCCCTACGTCCTCGTGTCATTCAAGCCGTGATGGGACTTCCATGTGACCAAAATTGTAGACAGTTTTGGGTTGATTGTCAGTCATTTCAAGAATTGCACCTTGTTAGGGCCAAATTGGTAAGTCCTACTTGGCTCTTGAAAGGGCCAAATTGAAAAAAAGTTCCAAAGTAGAATTCATTTGGGCCAATTCAGATTTTGGAGGGGTCGAAATGATACCTGTTCGACCCGTTCTCCAGAAATGGTACCTGTCCGACCCGTTCTCCGAAATCTCTGATTTCAATGCAGTATGAGAACTTTCATTAGGTTGGTTAAGAAGCATTAGATTTTTCATATTTGATATTTCCCATTTTTCAAAATAACTTGTCATTTAATTTGCTCGTTTGTTCACCTGGTTTTATTTTATTTTGTTTTGACGGTTTTTACTAAGAATATATGAAAGTCATATATTTGAACTGTGGATAAAGACGTGAATATGAAAGCGATCCTCGCAGTAATGTGTACCACTTGAACAGTAGTGAAAATAAGACCTGAAAAAAATTCAGCCTTGTACGGGATTTGAACCCATGACTTCTGCAATACCGGTGCAGCGCTATACCAACTGAGCTAACAAGCCAACTGGAAGCTGGTCATTATGTTAGGTCCAAATAAACCCGTGAAGTGATAAATGCACAGCTAAGAATATATGAAAGTTATACATTTGAACTGCGGATAAAGACGGTATCGCAGAAATCATATATATATTAGTAGTATGTAAGTAGTATGTATGTAATGAAAGTAGTATGTATGACAAATGCAGTGAGGTTTAAACCGTTAAAATGAGCAAATGCCAAGCAAATGCCTCGTGTATTAATTCTCAGGTCTCCTACAACTGCTCTTGGAACCCTAATTATGTCGTTGATGGTTTCATTTGTGAAGGTACGTTTGATTTCTTCTTGATTTTCAAGGCGGGTGTTAGATAAACTCGGCCTAAAACGCAGCTGCTCAAGTGGCAATGAGTTGGTCCTACGTAAGTTATGCTATGTATTATTTGGATTCGCCTAAAGCTCTTCTTTTATGCGCCGCTAGGGAAACAGGAGACGAAAATTCAGGCATCCTTCTCTCCACAAAATTTATTTTCTTTGGTTTCCATATCACGCTATTGGCCTCTACGGCTACAAATGTCCTAAAGAAGTCTCGTTTTTCGTGTTATTAATTACTTAATTCCTGAGCGCTACATCTGATTGTGAACTGCTAGACTTATCGGAAAAAAAAGAAGACCTTTGATCGTTTATTTTCATGATTAAATTGTTTTCATAGTTATCACTTACCTTTGCAGCCGATCCTTACTATGACTGCAAAAGCCTAAGTGATGCCGATAGAATGAGATATTACGTAACACCCAGTTATCCAGTGCTTTGTGAGGACCGATTTTCTAAGGGATGGTATCGTTTTGTGGGAGAAGCAGGAATAAAAACCCCAACAAACCATGTGGCACGATTCGGATGTGGTACAGTTTATTGAGGCTGGTTGGATGGTGCTCATCCTTCAGTAGAAGATGGCGAAGTTTCCAAGACAGTCTGCTTTACTTCTACCCCTACATCTTGTAAAGACACAAAGGGAATTTTTGTGAAGAACTGTGGATCATACTATGTCTACAAACTTTTTAAGCCCCTAGGCCGTTATATGCGCTACTGTGGCACAAACTAAGTGTGAAATAATTAATTTCGTGAAATAACAGGATTTGCAAATCAATCCTTGGTTTTATGCACTACAATTTCAGTCCCCCTCTATGAATCTCACTCATACCTACAGGACGATCTCCTCCTAAAATTGTAATACCATTTGCAAATTCTCAAAACAAATTTACGTGGAACACTGTGGATCCAACTATACCCAAGAAACTTTACGGCCACCTCGTCGTGTGTCGCGCTATTTCGCTACTGACTGAATGAGAAACAATATGTTTCACCAACTATAAGAGGATTTATAAATCGATCGCTTTGAATTGCACATTATAAAGATTTTATTCCTTATAAACACAAATACTTAACGGCTGACAACATTAAACACGGGAAAAAGAAGAAAAGAAACAAAAAAAGGAAAATCTGCAGTAGTGAAATCCAAAACAAACAGTAACATTATTCAGCATGAGACCGTCCGTCTTCAGAAGACGATGGGATAGTGCCACTGTGTTTTTTTGGCATCTACACGAGTGGCTGTAGAATCCAACACGCGTAAGCAGTCCCTGCTGCAGGTGTCGCATGTGAAAACAGACGCTTGCTGAGGTTGCTGACAAAAATGCCACCCACCTGAGTCTCTATTCAGCGAGATGTACAGTCCTCGTCTTCTCTGATTTAAGAACGCCCTGTTTGACAGCGATGTGCTAAGCTGAGAGATCTTCTACCCATGTTACCCATGTGTCTGTGTTGATATTTTCAAGTCTCTTTTTCACACGTCTTTGTAGCGTAAATGTGAGCTCCCTGTGGGTCTTGAGCCTTCTACCAGCTCACCATACAGAAGATCTATGGGGATGCGGCCTAGGTTTATTCTCTTCACGTGGCCAAACCATCTGCGGCTCCTTTTGTGGAGGATGGAGTACATGCCGCTCATGTTGACGCGTTCTTGGACTTCTGTGGAAGCTGTTGGATTTCCTCTCATGCCTTGCGTAAGTGGTTCACGCTTCGAAATACGTAGTAAGAGTGGGAAATTTACTGAAAGTGACGAAAAAGCCCCAATTTCTGATAATCATATGATAATGATTAATAATTCGAATTTATCTTCGTATTTTCGTATTTTAAAGAATCACACCAGTTTCCAGACACAAGGCCAAAAGTTAGATAGTTAAAAATGATTCAGCCCGGTTTTCGAATGCTTTTCAAAACCATGCCAGAATAGTGGTAAAAAATTATGGCTTGATTCAGAATCTTCTTTGTTTGACTCACGTTTTTAACGCATTTGCTACCATAGTTTGCTGAGAGAGATCCGAGAATTTTTGCTAAGAGATTTGCTCTTAGAACTTTTTACTCGAAATTTAATTTTTTTGCGACGAAAAAGTATGCCTTATAATCATATTTCAATTTGTCTATTTTAGAGCGAGAGCGCGAAATGGTGTTTCCGGACTACTACTTCTTTGCTGAAAGATATTTGGTAAACCACACCATTGAAAAGAAACGTGTCAATAACTTGGATGACTGTGAGCTAATGTGCTACCTGAACGACGACTGAAACGATTTTTTATTTACTTTGAATGTTCGACGCCTTTCTATGGTAAAATAAGAGCAGTTCATATGTATGTCAAATGCTTAATATAGTAACTGCAAGGAGAGCTCAGAAATAATAGCTTAATTGAAAGTTACCACCAGAGAACACTAAAAGCAGGAAGCCTTTTAACAAATTGAGGTTTTTGCGAATTGCTGAGTTCCTATGGCTCTTTGATAGAAACCAAAATGCTTTTGTCTTTAGTTGATATTTTACTCATGTATTTTTTTCCTCTGTTTCTTTCTAATTTTACGACAGATACCGATAAATGCATTCACTGGCAAATGCCACAAGGAGGCTACGTGTTATATCACATGCGGATCATACGTGTGCACATGCAAGTCTGGATTTATCGGAGATGAGCATGATTGTACACGTAACCGTCAATAGTCTCAAAAACCGTTAGATTCTTGTTGAATAGTATAATCAGATTTTGTTTGGTTTGTTATTTGTTGATGTTTATTTTGGTAACGTGGCAAGCCATGTTTTAATTCTTCAAAATAGGTGAGACAGTTACTCGACTAAAAGTTATTGCGAGATAACTCGTTTTCACCAGGTACGACAATCTCGCGTTCTCCGCAATCCGGCAAAAGGTTGAAAACAGCCATGGTTTTTACTCTTAAACACGGTAATGGCTTATCCACCGCAATTTTTGCATCACTTTGAAATCCCAATTTTTTCATCTGTGATTTCATAGACGTTGACGAGTGTAAAGGAAACCACTCTTCTCACGAGAATGCAAACTGTACCAACACCATGGGATCACATGTATGCTACTGTCAGCCTGGATATACTGGAAATGGACAAAACTGCACAGGTGAATTTGATGTATTTCGTTCAGTATTATAAAAGTGCATCTCAGCGGACCGGAAAAGAGCAACATCTACTCCATGGTAATCAACATTGCTAGGAAATAAGATCCGTAGTGAGTTGTTTTACACCGCCTTCAATCATGTTACGGGTTCCTTAAATTGTGTTTCATTGTTGCATATGAATATCTTCGATGCTTTTTTTTATGCTTTTGGATCTTACAATAATTACAGACGGCGGCGTGAGACGAAATCACTTGTCTTACTTTGAACCTTAGAGCTAGAAGGCGGAAAGCTTCGTAAATGTGTTAAAACGAAAATAAAGATAAAAAGAAAAATTCAATGCATGTATATTTTGAAACAAAACGTTGGTGATCGGTGACGTAATTTTTATTGACTGCCCGTTGAAATATTACGAACTCTTGCAATCAAAATAAATAAAACAAAATAAAAAAAAACTTTAATGTAATTAACAAGCATGCTCCATAATAAGAGCCTGAAAATATTTTTTTCATTGCATCTCACTATCAGTATGGCTGACTTTTTATCGTTTCAGGTTGTCGTTGATCTCAGTTTTTTTTTTTTTGTACAAAATCTTTTTTGTGTGTGTAACAAAAATTGGCGTTGAAATACTGTTAAATTTTGTGACCTTGAGTTTCATTTATTTGTATTGGCAATCGCTATATCTCTTATTTTCAATCTTCCTGACTCGTACTTCGCATGGGCGAGGGATGACGTATCTATTCCCTCTAAACTAGTCCCAAGTCGACGTTCAAAATTCGCGGGTGTACTTTAATCACCCGCGTCCTAGAAATCGGCAATGTTGGCCGCTCAGAAAGCTTTTGGTAGTAAACAAAAGTGTATTTCCAGACTTTGCAATCCATAACAAAATATAATTATTTCAACTAAGGTGATAATCTTGCTTCATAATTAGGGCCTGAAACTATTTTCATGATACAACTATTTGAATCGATAAATAACCCAGTTTAGTTCCATGTTTTCGAAGTAACATTCTGGTAATTTCAAAATAAACATTGGCGTTAAAAGGTTACAGAAGATTGCTGTGACACTGATATTATTTCCTTTAGCTTGTAATGACATTTATTGCAGCTTGATCTTGACGTAGTATGTACATTATCTTTCAGACATTGACGAATGCAGTGAGGCTCATCCTTTGAAAGCGAAAAAATGTCATCCGAATGCCTATTGCATTAATACTCAGGGCTCATACAAATGCTCTTGTAGTACCACATTCATTGGGAATGGTTTTGAATGCAAAGGTACTTTTGATTTCTTAAAAACTTCTTAACTGGATAGTTTTAATTTTCTGTCATGCCTTTTTTTTCTATTTAGGGTTGGGATTAAATATACTTTTAATTCATTCCAGTCATATTTTAAAATGTGTCATGATTATGTAAATTATGTTACCTGTATGTTTAACACGCCACTTTGCTAATACTGCGTGCAAATGAATGCTGTGACTTGCCAACCCAGTACCAGGTGTCTCAGCGAGATAAAAAAAGGGTTAAATTTTAAAGTTGTACGTTTGTAATCTTTGTCCCTTTCCGTGATGAGCCTCTGCTGGGCCGTGGAGATCTTTGATCTGTGTGGCATGGGAATATAAAAATGACCATAGACATCTCAAAAGGAACACAATTTAAAAGAAAATATCTTATTCAGAATTCGTGTTTAGGCGAAGGTATTTGATAAGTTCGTGCAGAACTCCGAAAAAATTGTCATTCAATGTTTCTTTGCACCTTCCACTCCATTCTGATCAAGGTAGTCCGTTTGCAGCCCAAATGAAAATTAAATATGCCGAAGAACACTCAATTCGACAAGTAGTCGAGATCTTCAAAGACTAAAATGCGACAGAATTAGCTTTGGGATAACGAAAAATGCAATCTCAAAAGCGATAAGGACACTGGCTGGAATACAGAACTTGTAAACTTCAAGTGATGCTTTGCGAGATTTGGGCCATTATTTGGACCAGTACATACTATTCAAGTGTTGATGTGTGCTTAAGGCGTTGTTCATTTGAACATTTTCTTTCTTTCAATTACTCAGCTTTCACAGTTTTTATCGCAACCCTACGCGATGATATGGCCGTCAAGTCATGTAAACAACGATTCCAAGAAAGTGAACTATCGGAAGAAATGTAAATGCAAGAAATTCTTTGGTTTTTGTTTCTGAACGGTCGATGTTAGCATCTCTTTGAACATAGAGATATCTCTCAGTAATTTTACCTTACTTTTAATAGATAGCTTCTGGTAACATGCGTCTATCTGGTAACACCAAAAATACGATGTTAAGAAAGAAGGGACTCTAATTAAGATCCTTTTTTCCTTAAAACTAATAAAATTTTTCTTACCAACTATTTAGTACATGGCTTTTGACTTGGAAAAAAGAAAAATTTACTCAAGCGAAAGTCGTCAATCAACATCCGGCGATGCATTCAACTATCCATTTACCGACTCAAACCCGCGGTAAAACTATGCAATCGGTGAAATGCACCATTGTCACGTATACCATCAGAGAGTACATTTATTTTCCGGAAAAATGATTTCATTTGCAGCCTTAAAAAAGACTGGTATCAATGGAGAAGTGAAACAACTTGATGAGAAAATATTTGTGAGACTTTCAAGACAATTGGAAATGGTCAATTGGAAAGCATACAGAAAAGACATAAATTTTCTGCAAAATAATCCAAACTCGCACGGCTATCTGGGAAAAAAATCCCAATGTTTCGGAATGCACTGCTCATAATATATTTCAGTCCACAATTTCGCTTTGGGCATCAAATCTTCGCCTCCTAAGAGCCTTATGGATGAACTTCACGAGCCTTTTGAACATCTAATATTACATATAATCAGAAATACTGCTTCTAACAAGAACCGCTCGACTGTTTACATTTGATGTTACTTAGTGGTAACTGATTTTTAATCTGCTTGTGTAATAGCGAGGAAACTTACTGATGAAAACTGCTGAACTAGCTGTGACAAAAATTAATATTTCGGTAGTTGTTGTGAATTCATGGAATGCGATAATCTATAATTTTTTTCGCGGTATTCTGCTAAGGATGCATGAGAGATCTACCAATGGCGTTATTCACTTAGCGATTGAAGCTTTGTATATGTCATGGTAAATTATAAAGGCTCTTTACTTAAGGCCGCAAAGGTTACCAGCTGGTAAGTCAAAAACCACTTCATTACAAAATTTATTAAGGAAACATTTTATCGAGGTTTTACCATGTCACTGACAGCTTTTCAATGCGAGTTTTAACGGTTTCTTATATTAGATGTAGGATTGAACGAATTCTTGTTTGTTTACCTCGTCCACAATCTTAAAAAATAACTTAAAACTGTGTATTCGCTGTTCTTCACAACTTTAAATACTTGTAGTTAAATTTACTCCTCAGACACCTCATTGACCTTTGTCGCTTTCATGCGCTCGAGTTTTCGAAAAAAGGAAGAGAGCAGTCGCGGTACATGCGTGACATTTTTGCTCTTCCTAATGTGCATAATCTAGTGTTAGCTCGTGGGCATTAGCGCTGTATGATGCCTTGCTCTGATCTCGCTCTTAGCCAATCAGAGCGTGCGTTATATCGGCAACAAATTAAAGCCATATTAGGAATAGTTATTATCATTCTCGTGAAATGCAAAGTCTACTGCTCTTGATAAACTGCTGCAATTATATGAATATAGACAAAATATATTTTATCATTGATTCCAATGACTATAATGCTCCTAAAAGTATCATTTTTCTTTGTAGCTGATCCTTGCCATCATTACTCAAACCTGAGTGAAGCCAATCGAAACACAAAAACCGAAACAAAAGAAGTTTTGTGTGACAGCCAACTCCGTAAGGGATGGTATCGTTTTGTAGGAGCTGCAGGAACAAGAATGCCAACAGAGCGTGTGCAAGCATTCAGGTGTGGCACTAACTGGCCAGGCTGGTTGACGACTACTCATCCTACAGTGGAAGATGGTGAAATTCGCGGGATGGTGTGCTTTAGTGATCGCTCTACTGGTTGCCAATACTCTAAAAAGATTTTTGTAAAAAAAAATGTGGATCCTACTTCATCTACAATTTTTTTTCAGCCACCAAATTGTGATTCGCGCTATTGTGGTACGGACTGAATGTGGAGCGAAAAATTTCAAGAAATAAGAGGACTTATTGATCCTCAGGTACACGTGCTTCAGGGATTTTGCTTCTATGGATTTTATACGATGTTGATGTCCTGTTAACTTGCGAAAAACAAATGCATTGAATTTCACATTTTACAAATCATCTCTTTCGTAAGAACAATCACAAATAATCAATTGCTGCTTAAAGAACTAATAGCAAACAAAAAAGAAATTAATAGAAAGGATAATGCTTAAATAGTGAAATCCTAGACAAGCAGGAACACTAGTCTGCATGATGACTGGCAAAACATGGCGAAACTGTGTTCCCGAAACGCTAAAAACTGACATACAGGACGCAGTGTATAGCACGGTTTGATAATTTTCGTTTCAGTTTATTTCAAAAATTAGATGCCGCTTTTTGCTAGTGCTTATGATGTGTTCAGTCTGATAGTTGCTTTAAAAACAAAGCAACACGGTTATGTAAGGACTAGTGTGGGTAGATGCTATCTATTGTGAGGCAGTAAGGTATGGCATGGAAGTTTAACTGTTTTTATCGCAGTTTCACACTAAAATGAAAATTTTCCAGGTTGAAAAGTTTTGAAGGAAATATATTACCCTTGTTCCAATCCTTTGAAACCATTAGTTATGTTATGGAAAAGAAATCCCAAATGCCAGTGTTAAGTATTTTGGGTTTAGGTTAGCGTGAGGTTTAGAATATAGGAATGAAGTAGCGAACGATTCCCCAGTCAAGTATTTATCTTCTGTGCCCGAAAGGAAATTTAAACGCATAGCAAATGAGATAAATAGTTATAAACACTGGTCATTCAATTCACGTATGGGCCTGAATTTTTTTTTTTCAGGTCCTATTTCCAACCAGTAGTTCAGTAGTGTTTTTAGCTGCGAGGATCTCTTAATTTCGTTTGTTCACCGCAGTGCAGATATATGAATTTCATGTCTAAAATCATCACTCATAAACATTATTTCTTTTTAAACCTAAAAAAAACTAACGTAAATCAAAGATGATCTACTCAGAGGAAACTGAGATAGGTTAAAACATTTTTGTCGGTCAGCTTTTTAAGCGTTACATGTGTTAAAAGAAGAGAATCGTGCAATCAATCATTACGTTTTAGAGAAATTGTGCAACTTTTTTATATGCTCATCTTACCTGGAGCAATCTCAACTGAGTGTCGTAAAGTTAACATTTGATGAAATGCAGTGTATGTAATGTACCAAAGATCTGATTGCGAAAAAACTATGCTAAAATTCCAGCAGATTCATAAACCAAGCCGGGTGCAGTGACTTTCAAACGCCTGAAAACGGATCAGTTCGCTATGAATGCCTTTATAACTAGTTCACTATTGATATGTAAGGTCTTCACTATTGACATACGCAAGTAATATTGGCTTTCACGATCGTAAACTAGAGACAATAGAGGAATAGAAATAAGTCATGACTTTTGCCACTCGATTGAAAACTGTTCACCAGCTTGAATAAGGCTAAATCACGATAAGACGGAATTCAATATCATCGGAACGAGACTACTCGCCAAAGTCAACATAGACTCCATGCAGGTTGGTGAAAGCAGCATCGCCCCAACCAGCAGAGTCAAGAACCTAGGCTGCTGGTTCGATGGACAACTTAAGATGGATACTTCTGTAAAACCACATTTTTCCACTTATACAACATTAGAAAGATAAGAAAATTTCTTAACTTTGAATGTACAAAGATTCTAGTAAATACTTTTTAACTAGTCATTTGGATTTCTGTAACAGGCAAGTATGTGGGTTGCCTAACAACCAACTACATAAACTACAGAGAATCCAAAATGCGGCCGCTCGCCTAATCTGCAATGTAGGTCGTTTCGAACACATCACCCCCCATCACTGTACAGGCTCCATTGGCTACCCATTAACTATAGAATCCAGTTTAAAATCCTTCTTTTTGTATATAAAGCCCTCAACGGTATTGCTCCCCCTTATATATCTGAACTTGTAGAACTTAAAACAGCCTCAAGATACAATCTCAGAAACTCTGATGATACGCTTTTACTGAGTAATCCTTCTTTTAAGAGTCGTATCATATTAGGTGACCGCTCATTTAAATATGCAGGGCCTAAACTGTGGAACGAGCTACTGAGAGACATACGTTATGCCAATACTGTACATATTTTTAAGCGTCTCCTCAAAAATCACCTGTTTAGGAAAGCCTATCTGCTTAATAATGTTTAATATCTGCATCGGTTTAATAATGTTATGATAGTTAGGATTTTAATGATTAGAAAAATTGTAATGATTATAAATACCATAGTTTTAATAATATCACATATGTGGAGATTTTAATGATTAAAAAAATTGGTAAGATTGTAAATACTATACTTGCAATGATCAGGATTGTAAAGATTGTAATGATTGTAATGATTGTAAAGACAGTGCTGTAAGATTATTTTATTGAAATGTGCGTGTGAGCATCTGCATATGTAACACGCGCAATATAAGTAAATAATTTTTTTTTTTTGAATTGCATTAAGTGCGTACATGTATAGGCTTCCGCAGTAAGGATTGCTTAATACAACTTTACTTACTCCTTGATTTATTTTCAAGGCAATTCTCATAATACAAGCAATGCTAGTGTTAAATTGTAATTAGTCACCTAATGGTACCTATATGGCCCATTGTTTTTTTAAGAAGCTTAAAATAATTACGTTTATTACTCACAATCTTCTGTAACCCACCTGTTCACATCAGGTTGTTGATAAAAAATTAATTAATTAAAAAAATTTTAAAAACCCCGTGAAATTGCTTATTGTTTTAAGTGTCCTTGTCACCAAATAAACTTAAATCAAGAAATATAGACGTTAAATGAAAGAAATGTTTTGCTCACGCTTGATTCCGAGTTTATTTTTTACAACGAGACGTGACGTTCATTTGTAGGCCTCAATATTTCTTTTAATTTTTATTTCGTGTCTAAACTCTCTACCAATAAGGGATTATTTTTAATTTGAATCAATATAAGTGAGTTGTGCGCGGTTCTAGATGTTGATTAGGAACATTTAGCTGGTGAATTTGGAAAATTTGAGACTGAAAAGATTTAGCGTTTAAGGCGTGATCACAGTGATAAAATTTCACGCTGTGACTACGCCTGTGATGATAGCTTGAACAAAAAGGAATAACATATATGACTTCGACTCCTTTAGGAGGCAGTAGTCACACGAATTGCGATTAGAAATCACGAGTGGAAAGCTTGATCACAGACTGGTAATTGGATGTGATCACGGCCTGGGAAGCCTCAAGATCCCAAGATGCTTCTGTGTGATGAACACGTCCCTAATGTGTTTGAGAATGCCCTTGAAACAAATAAAAATGCTAAAAAAAAGAAAATTAAAATAAAAAAATAGAAAAACAGCGGTCATTTATTATATCTGCTAAATTTCAATCGATGAAGAGATAATGCTGTTAAATAGGCGTTCAGTGCTTTTAGGCATTTAATAATTTTTCAGAACAAAATGTCAAGTAATTAAGAACCCAACATGGCTAGCTCACACCAATAAGGCTGAGGTTTATTTCAGCGACCGCAGAACGTACTGGAAGTAGCCCCTATACATCATTTTATTATTACAGTTGAGTTCTTCAATGCTATAAATCTGCTGTTAAGGAATAGTCAGTATTCTTCACCACTGAAATAGTGTGAGTAATTTCACATGCTAACTTTTGATTTCGCCGATGATTTTTTTTTCTTATTGTAACGCTATGAACAAAATGAATTTGAAAGTTCTCTTAATGATGTATTAGATAAATCAATTTTCAGATATACCGTAAGGTTGGAGAAAAATCCACTTAAATCCATTTGTAAACTCGCTGTTTTCAGAGCTGAGGGACGTATTATTTATTGTGAACTGAACCTTCGCCCAAATTTTATCGCACCCTACATTCCCACCCATCCATCTTTTCATAACGGCGAAACGTTAAAACAGTTTTATGCGCTAAAAACAATTGGTCTCAAAGCTAACCGAAGTAAATGCATACAACAAACATTTCAATTACGCTTTGTTGAATTTCCGTAGCATTTAACTAACCAGGAGACGTTTACTATGTGACAGTTTTTTGCTCCATTGAACCAGAAATATTTGGGGTCTACCATGAAAAATCTTGAAAACAGAAGAGGCATTCTTTCGATATAAAATCTCTTTTGGAAACAATATACCAGCCAATGGATCATTTTAAAACGACTGTGCGCAACAACTGTCAAAAGATCGCGTGACATACGTGTCGCGAACGATGATCTCAGTGTGTCGTCACAGAAAAGCTTAGAAATACGCAGTCATGATATAGTCTTTTGTAGACTGGAAATGGATAATTGTGTACATTTCCTGCTGCGGCGTCAGTTGATTTTATTATGCTGACCCATGTGATTGTGAAAAGACATTTATTTGTAAATGAAGTTGCAAGTTCGTGAGCCAAAACCGTATCAGTAACCACAGCAACAACTTGGTGCGGTACCTTAAACGAATCGAAGAGTGCTTGATCTCTCTGGCAAGACACGCTGTACGGGTGTCCGGTCCAAAATTGACAGAGTATTAAAACTTAAAAAGCCTCAGGGGACAAGTACAACAATTGGATAACTTCTTCGTTTTTTAAATATTATAACAATAAGCTAATTTTTGGCAGTAATATTTGATTTCTTCCCATTTGATTCTCGTTCGAATTATAGAGTTTACGTAAGTAAAAATTTTTCAACCAGATAAGTCGCATCATTTTTTCCTTGTGGAAAAAATGTACACTTAGACAAAATTCTTGAAAGCCACCATATCGATATGTTTTTTCCAACGTTTGATCCACTTTACGGAATAGTGATATAAACTAATTATGTAACGACGATTGTTCTTGTATTTAGCTGTTTGTATAAGCAATAGACCGCACTTTCTATCGGTTTACTAGCGTAAAAATCCTTGCAGGATGTTGGGAGAACACGAAAAAAATTGTATAAATCACCACCCGGGAGCCATTAAAAAAAATGGGTTATTTCGCTCGTTATCCGAAGGAGAGAGCAGTCTTTTGATTTTTATAAAGTAAACTTAAAACCAAACCCATTATGTTCAAATTTTCCAAGGGTTTGGCAATGCACTAAAAGGTCAATTTTTTACCTATCAGAGTGCCTGTAGTATTTAGGTTATTTTGCAATGACGTCACGATTTAACAATGAAATGGCATTTCAGTTTTGCTTTTACAAGATGTTATGGCAAACGTGTCAATAACCCCTTGGAAATCTGGGGGAGGGTGCGAATAGTCCAAGAGTGCTGAGGGTGGATCGATCGAGTTCTAAACTGAAATGAAAAACGTTCAAGTTAGCGCGCTTTCTGATGAAGAAGTAAAGGAAATAGTAAATGTTTTAATGACTTAGAACCGAGATTGGTTCAAAGGCTCGAAATAGCCAATAATGACCCCACAAAACATAGGAAATTAACTTTTTCGAAGACCAAAATGTCCGACCCATCGGATTGTAAAAACTAAATAAAATGTGACCTTCACAAAAACTCATGGCTTTTAAAGGAGTCTTTACCAGGTTAGATCTCTTTAGCGGAGTCAGATTACCTTAAATTTTTCATTGAATCTTTATTAAGTCATAAGATAAATAATCACATATCCTATGTTACAACATTAAAAGAAGGTATATATATAAATTACAGAGAAAATCAAGATAAAAATTATAAGACTAGATTATGTTTAAAAATTAAGCGATTAACAAACGTGTTTTTGAACCTATCAGTGTTTATTTTAGGATGGTGACTTGTCTCTTTCCTCAGATTGTACTTGGTTAATTTCTTTTTTGGCATTATAGCTCTTAAAGGGTGTATTGTATTATTAAAAACATTCTTGAAGATACGCGTGTCCTGTTGAACTAACAATTCATAAACATTAATGTGATCGGATGTATACTTGCGCTTATAACATCGATCTAAGAAACATTGGATTGTTGTTAATTCGAATTTACAGCACCAAATACGGACAACCCGTATAATATATTTGGTAGAACCAGATTTAGAAACAGATGGTCTATTTCGGCCTGATTGTACCCTTCTTTCCTTAAAGATCTTAAAATGAACAGGCACTTGTTTGCTTTAATTAGTTTTTCCCGAATATGTGTTATGAACCTACTGTCTTCCTGAAATGTTACCCCTAAAATAGTAAGCTCTTTTTGTCTGTGGTATTCCAGACACCATCGGAAACTCTATTGTACAACCTTTCTTGCGGAAAATGATTTCCTTGCACTTAGATGGATTGCTACACATACCATTACTTCTAGACCACTGGGAAAACTGATTAATCAGTGCGATAGAATTGTCATTATCACCTATCACAGGCGAGATAATGGTTGTATCATCTGCATATTTTACCAGCACGCTCTTATTGTCCAAGTGTATCTCTAAATCACTGAGAAAGACATTGAACAAGTGCGGCCCGCTGACACTTCCTTGGGTGGTACCTTTGTTGACACTTTTCCATTTTCCAATAAACCCATTTCTAATGACTCTCTGCTGCCTGTCTTCCAAAAAAGCTTAGATACCAGTTAACTATAAAAGGATTTAGGGGAGTTGCTTCAATTTGTGTGAGAGGGAGATCGTGTTTCACACTATCAAAAGCCTTGCTGAAATCCATAGCGAATAGGCGTACCGCTTTGCACTCTGGGATATCAAGATATTGATTGACAGTATGTTGGATAGTCAGTAGAGCATTGGTACAGCTCCTCCCCTCTATGTATGCAAACTGTGAGATCCCAGAATGTTCATCGAAGGTCTCCCTTGCGTGTGTTCCTAAGACAGCTTTCTCAAAGCACCTTGCGATGACAGGTGTCACATTTATTCCGCGGAAGTCTGATATTCCCTTAGGTATATCAACCTTCGGCAAAAGGTACAGGTCTGACTTTTTCCAAGAGACAGGCCAGGCGTGTGTTCTAAGAGACAGATTCCAAATCCAGGTGATCACTGGAACGAATAGCTCGGCGTGGTCTTTCCATATAGTATACGGGATGCCATCTGGTCCGGTTGCTGTTTTCTTTATACGCATAAGAGAATTCAGGACTTGTCGCTCTGAGATTTCTGGGACTTCCTGATCTTCACTAATCTCCAGAGGTGTTGGCTTTCTGTAGGCGTGGTCAGTACATAGGTCACCAAAGTAGTCATTTAACGCGTTGAGTTCGTAGTGGCCAAGAGATAGACAAATCACCGGCTTGCGGCGCTGAGATGTTTTATCCACTTTTTCCACCAATCCCGAGTTCCAATAGAGGCGTTAAAGTCCCTTCTGTTTCTGAAAATCACTTCAGAGATCCTTTTATTCATAACTTTAAGACGGTCTAGATTACTGAGTGATATGCGTGATTTGGCTCGTATCATCGATCGAACGAGCGGAGTCATCCAGCCTGGGTCTCTTGAAGACATGCGCACTGTTTTCAGAGGCATGCAGCTATCCAGGTGCCCTAGGATGGTATTTTCGAGCCTACCAACCACTTCATCGACATCAGTTTCCTGTATCATATCATCCCAGTTTTCCTTCGCCAACGCGATATACAGATCACGCTTTCTATGAGCCCTTTGGTCACGCACGTATACTTTACGGCGGATAGGTGGAAGCTTTATACCGGGTGGTAAAATAACTCCCATGTGATCCGTCTTGGAGAGCATGTGAAAGGGATAGCACTTTGAAAAGAGATCCGTGCGGTTCGTGAAACAGTTGTCCAAACAAGAATTCCCTCTGGTGGGGAAATTAACCAGAGCATTCCAACCAGACATTTCTTCGAAGCGTTTGATATCCAGTTTGTTGACATCGCCACCGCACAACACAACTGTTTGTGGATGTTTGTCTAGTATATTATCCACGGTATTTACAAGATGATTCATTAGATCGATCTCTGCATAATTAAATTTTGGGGGATGATAAATTCCACATATTACAAATCGATGTCCCTTGGGAAGTCGCAGAGTTATACAAATTAATTCATAAAGACTAGAGCGGTAAACATCCTCTACTGCAAGATTGTTCCTGATGTATATAGCAATCCCACCCTTATTGCGCATATCTCTGCCATTCCAATTTCTGTCTCTACGAAAGATGGAATAGTTCTCAATATTTACAATCGCATCCGGTTGTGCCGGTTTGAGGTGTGTTTCCGATACGACACAAACATCAATATCTTTAGATCGCAAGTCAGCCTCAAGTCCAACCGCCGCACGCACTTTGTTCTTAGTTTTTGCGAGACTGCAAATATTGATGAACATACACTTGGGAACGGCAAACTCCGAGCAATCGGTAGATGATTTAGTAGGCTCTCGAGGAATAGCTGTAAGATATCTGTTCTTAGCGGGATCTTGGAAGCGATAAGGTCTAGCAAACCGCCGGGTTTTAACAACTTCAATGGGTCGACATCTGTCGGAGTGTTGCGATGCAGAGATATTTTTAGTAATTTTCCCCAATCTTCGTAATCCCGGACCTCTGTAAAATGATCCTGAATTAATTCAACGAAGCTTAACCAAAAGTTCCAAAATAGAGTGATTACAGGATTATGGTCCTCATCGTCAGGTGAGTGTGTGACAAATAAAGTAACCTACCATGTCACGTATCTGTATAATTGTTAGAGGTGATTGGAGAGATGCGCGCCCTCTGATTGGTCGAGGATTGCGTCTTACCTCGCTATAATCGACTCGTGCGAGATGATTATAGCAGAGACTCGCGTTTTCGTTATGTTTCCGCGAAAGTGATAAACGTATTAAAAGAAAATTAAATTTCGAAGAGCACAAAAAGGGCTTCTGAGTTTGGCGGAACTTTCTTCAAAAGAGAGGTTTTAATTTTTTGTTCATTCAGTGATCACAACAATTATAAAAAAATATGCGCAATGCTCTCTTTTTTTGCAGAATTTGCCACAGACTTTGAAAGCTCCATCGCAATTATACTACAACAATTATTCGCCTCAAGATCAGTAATATTCACCTTGCCGTACGCCAATAATTGCCAAGTAGAGGAAGAAGTGGGAAATCCATGTAGAACCGATTCTTTTGGTGAATAATTTCAAAGAAACCCATTGTTTGGCCAACCAGAAAAAAACAAAACAAAACAAAACAAAAAAAACAAAAAAAACAAAAAAAAATGGCTCCTCCCTAAAGCAAAAATAACAATTAATGCACAGCTTAAGCAATCAAGACCTACATTTTTCTTGTTACCATTAATTTTTTGTATTGTTTCGCTTTGTTTGTCTTTCATATTATTTGGTTTTGTATTGTGTTTCATGTTATTTAACGTCGCATTATTTATAAATATTTTGATCTGTTTTGATTTGCTGTTATTTTTCGCTTAAGGGTCAGGATGAAATTTATTTGAACCCCCTGTAACAGCGAGCGCGTTATCTTTTTAACTCAGAGTTCTTATTTTCACAGCTAACACACAGCATCTGTTTGAAACAAAAACGTAGTAAATAAAAGCTTAGTTAACTAAGATTAATAAATTACAAACAAAAATGAATACAAAACGAAACGGAAATACTTACCTTCCTAACGCGTGATATGTAATTGGAATAGCAAAGGATTTTAAGTTGAAGAAAACAGTGAACTGCGCCAAGCGCGACTTTCGGTAAACTGAATAAGAGGGGGGGGGGGGATTTCTAAATAAAATGCGGTGCTGCGTCGGTGGGAGAGTGCAACAAATTAATTTAGTTTTATCAACCTAGTTGATAACGTAAATTGGCTACCGTAAAGAGTTTAAAAGCTTGACGTTTCGAGCGCTAGCCCTTCATCAAGGCTCCGACGAAGGGCTAACGCTCGAAAAGTCACTTTTAAACTCTTAACGGGGGCCATTTTAGGTAAACTGACGTAGAAAAATGATTACGCATAAAAAATAGAAGACGATTGCGTAATTACGTGCGGTAAGAAAAATATCCAAGTAAGACAAATAAGATGTAACTAAAGAAGGAAAATGATGAGAAATATAACAAAAAATACTCACAAGGAGATATGTAAAATAAAGGAAACAAATTAATATACAAATACAAAATTGCACAAAAGTAATTAGCAAACAATTTAGATCTTACTTCACACATAAGGTTTTAATATTCTAATGATCTTCCCGCACTTCATCAAAAGTTAATCAGTTGCCAGTCAATATTCTTAGTCATGTCTCCCCCTTTAAACTCTGTTGGTGATGACTAATACCCCTCGTGTGTTCCCCCCCCTCCAGAATCCTCCTTTCCCTTTCCCCCCCTCCCGCCCTTCCAAGTAATCAACAATCACTAACCCCTAATTCTTTAAAAAATCTAGCATAGCTCAGCGAAAAGGCTTATAACAGTGCTCACAGATATTTTATGTGACAATACGGCGGTATGATCGTATAAATGAAACTGTGAGGAAAAGTGTGCGGATTCATTTAGGGTTTATTATGACCAAGGTGATAAACCGAAAAACATCTTGCTTTTTCTCGTCGTCTTCAACATTCATGTTTTCTCTTTCATGGTACAGAAGAAGTTATTGATGATGCTCAAGATCCATTTGAAAAAGTGGACTGTATTAACACTTATGGCTCTTACAATCGTACCTGTGAAGGTGACTATATTAGACCCCTTCAGCCATACAAGGACCTGAATGCGAACTTAACCAAAACTAATATCTCCCCCTTAACTGCTCAGGTAAGCAGAGATACACAGGAGACAGTCGTTAAAAGAAACTTCATGTTAACTTATATATAGACTCAACTGGCAGAGTATCCAATTGCAGTAACTCGAATCTTAAGGGGCCACTCGGGTTACTTCGTTCTATGCTCGTTCAAATCATACTCTTTTTTTTTCTTTATCGAGTACGTTCTTTTCACAATACTGACGTACGATCGCAATTATTTTCATGCCATCCAAATGGTACACTGTCATTTTAATACCTTCCGTACTACAACTCAAGTTCCCCAGACTTGCATTCTTGAATATGTCAGGAATGTTTATCATCAGTTTTCTCGAATATCATCCGAAAATGAAATCGATGTAATTAAAAATTGTGAAACAGCTTTAAACTTGGTTTTACTAAATACGGGCGTGGTATTTTCCTTAGAACTTATGGAGCCTTAACAATCATTGCTTTCCCAGAGAACTCTAACAACTAAGGAATAATGATGACAATGATTTGCAATTATCGGTCAATCTTTTAGTCGACCCACGTGTAAATTACAAAGTCCTGAGTAATGAGGACGGAAGGAGCACTTACGTCACAGTCTTCAATGAATTTTTTTGTGAGAATGTATTCTGAGGATAGGTTCTAATTTATGATCTTCGGATCAAAAACCAAATATTTAAAAAACGGATGCAAGAGGGCGCCTTTTTTTAGTCTCGATGGGGACAGGTTCTAATTTACGATCTTCGAATCAAAAACCAAATATTTAAAAAACAGATGCAAGAGGGCACTTTTTGTAGTCCCGATCCTTATCAGTGCTGATAGGTTAAAACGAGAGAAAAACAGGAAACAAAACAAAAACGAAAAAAAAATAAATAAATAAAACATAAAACCATAAAGGAGAGGAAGAGGAAGGGAGGGGAGCGAGTGTTCGCGGGAAAGAATGATGGGAAAACCATTGTTATCCATAGTATCTAAGAAAATTAATGGCTTCCTCTCGGCCTAAATCTAATTATGCTATTGTAAAGTTTAGGGCCACTTTTAAAGGAAGTAAGCTCGCTGGAGTTGCTCAATTCCTGATTTGTTGCAATTGTATATATTATGTGTACATGATTTCAATATTCTAAAGAAAAAAATCTACGTTTTAACCACGTGTCGTCTTTGAAATTTTCTGTTATCTTCCAAGCGAGTTTCTTTTTAGAATAAATTTGACTGGGAGAGAAAGATACATTAACGATGTTTAGAGTTCGAGTGGTTACGAAAAATTAACGTTTTTGTTCGGAACAAAAACACCCAACGAAGTACGTACAGACTAGCTTAAAGTTGGAAGTCCTGGGATTTCAACACCGCGATGACAAAATTACTGAAAAGTTGAAACCGGATGCCTTGGAAAACTTTTCTCGGTGTTTACGTAACAGTTCGCTGGTAAGATGGGATGGAATTACAAACGTAATAACCTTCGTGTACTGTTTACTGCCATGAAGCGAATGCAAACGGAGAAAGAGTGCAAATACTCATACTCCTCTTTTTAAACAGGATTAGGAAGATAAATCAGAAAACGAATGAGACAACACGGGCTGAAGTCCAATTTCATTTCAAATTTTTTGCTTGTGCGGATTGTTTCAAACGAATTGGAGTAGAGCTTTAAGATGCCAAATATAAATGATAGTTATGTTGACAACTGCGGCCTCTACTAATAAATTTTAACCACATCAATATACTTCGGTCTGTATTGTTTTTACTTTTCCTCTACTTTGTTAAGGAAATTTTATCATGAACTTATAATTACGGTTCATTCTAACACCCTGCTATATAAAAGTTTACATGTATACTCTGCTTATGTGGGCTGGTTGAATTACGCAGAACCTACAATTTTTCTTTTATTTTTATTCTTATTTTTTTTTTAATTATTTGTGTTTGTTTTCAAGACAATTATTAAAAGTAAAGGTATAATGAAAAAAAAATTCAGCAACCGTTTCTTCATAAACTCCTGCGCTTAGAAAATGAAATAGAGGCAGTGCATAATTCAAGGTACGAATAAAATGCATTTTTTGCTTCGCCGCCTTGATGTTTACATGCCTGCCGCTCAAAGTTCCCTCATTATTTTAATACCATCAGTACTGTAATGTTTCCGTCATGGCTAAAAAGTCGTTTTCCTTCAGCGTTAGTAGCATTGCTATGGCAAGCAGTGTTTGACTTCCCGAACCGATTATTTCATGAATTCTTGAGTAAAAACCAGGTAAATCATAATTTACCCTTTGTTAAGTATAAGATGCAAGAATTAGGATGAAGACAATAGCATATAAAATGCTTCGCAAGGTACATCTTGCAAGCTTCACCACAATACTCAGCATTTCCTTGATTGTTAATTCCATATATTTCCTACGCTTACTTCGTTCTAAGGCGCCACTGAAACACATTCAACCAATTAAAGATGAATCTTAATCATTGGAAAATAACTCCACATGAACTTTATTCCAACATTTTGGTCTATACGTTATTGCATTATTGCAAAAAAAAAAAAAAAAAAAAAAGTCAAGTTATCGCCTGCCTAGATGAAGTCTTCCCTATTTCGTTGAAAACGCGAATGAGACTAGTCAACAGTTAAAAGATAACTATCTGATTACAACTTGAATAGTAAACAGGGCCTCAAGAGCGACGCACGCTAACTGAGTTTCCTGACAAATGCGAGTCTCTTAGCTAAGACAAATCCCACGTCTTGAAAGCTGTCTTCGAAACAATTTCACAATTCTTTTCTGGAACATTTTCATGAATTTATATACAGTTCATCGCCTCAGAAACAAACAAAAACATAAAAAAAGACTCGTTTAAAAAATGCTGTCCGTGCATAAGCTTTAAAGATTGTCTGAGAGTTTTCACTTTTAGAGACTAAACCGTCCGTGCAGCGGGATTAATACAATTGCAATTTAAACAATACAGACTTACGAACTAAATATTTGGCTCACGCAACTGATCCAACGTTTTATTTCTTTGATTAAATTGGAGTTCGAAATTGCTCTGCCATTTTTTAATGGCATATCACTCGTAATGAGAACTTAAACAATTTTAAGTGTGAATTGAAAATTCGAGTACCTTCGACCGAATATGTATATAAATATATATATATTTTTTAATTTTAAATTTCTGTAATTGAAAAGTAAAAGCAAAACAAAACAAAAGAAATTCGCGTTTTCCACCGAAGAATTAGGCAAGCTGGAAAAAACATAGGAGATAATTTATTAATGAAGTAATTTCGTGTCTCATAGAAAGACATTAATAGCTTCTGGTATATTTGCCTTGTCTGTCATCTTGAAAAAATTTACAATGTTAAATGATAAGGAAAATATATATTGTTTATTCTGGTAAAAGTGCGCTTGAACTATGTTTTGAAACTCCTAAACAGCGCGCGAAGCCGGCTAAATGTTTCATGGTGTACAGATTGTTGCGACGATTTCATCTTACGGACGGAAAACATTGTACTTTTTGTCTAACTTGTGGTGACAAAGCCCTGGGAAGAAGAGCGAACGATTTGACAAAAATAGTCGGAAATTTTGCAATAATCTCGAGCCATTATTACGTATTGATTTAAATTTTTTTTTAAGACAAGATAGTAGACAATTCAAATAAATATGAGTAATGTTGAAAGAACGCGAGCAAATTACAAGAACCTGGGTATCACGAAAAAAAAAAAATAGTCATATTTGCAGCGCCATTAATCTATTTCAACTTCACTGTCGATGACTGATTAAAAACTTTCAAGCTCAGATATATTTAGTTATATATTCGCTGTATTTGGCGTATCAATGTAAATTTGCATCGCATTTTGTTTAATCTGTTTGTCTTCACTGTCAACTTGAATTTGTATTGTAGCTGAAAGACCTTGAGGTTCGAGCAAATCGTTTGTGTTGCGTTTGCTTGAAGTCCGTGAATTATGGTCATTGCGGCTTTCGCGCAAAATGGATATAAACGTTGACAGAAAAATCATTTCCAACACGAATCGCCAGTATTTGGTCCAAGACTTCCCCGTGGCAAAAGTAAGTTTTCAAACCAAAATTACGCTACAGTTTGATGAAAGTCAAAACCATTTTTGCCGGACTTCCCTTGAATTCTTACTGAAGTCCATCGTTTTTCTCTCAAATTAATCTGCATTACGTTTGTTTGACATGAATTACAAAATGGATCTATAATTATAATGCCTTTTGCACCCGACGCAAGAGGCGACACTCTTAAGGAATTAATACTAACATTTTAGAGTCCAAAACGCATTCTCCAGGCAATCCGTTCCATTACGTTAAATTCTTTGCCGGCTATTATTTTACCAATTTAGTCTTTTTTTGTGTGTGCGTGTGTGTGTGGTGTTTTTTTTTAAATTTTTAAAATTTTTTTTTTTTTTTATGTGCGAAGAACCTAAACAGGAAGAGGGAAGTTCATTTCTAATATTAATGATCATCTTGGCTTGAAACCAACAGCTTCTATCGTAACCATAGCTACCAGACAGTAATAAAAGAAAACGCGTTTGGCTCACTAACACTAGAGTTGGGCACCAAAGAACGTTGGATCTTTGAAGGTAAGAAATGATTGTACTTAATGAAGGAATAACTTGAGTTTGACTTTTATCCCATGACAAGATTTGATATCCATCCTTAACTCCTCTAGTTCTGTGCGGTTGAAATAAAAAGAAAATGAAATTTACCGAGCTTCCAAATATGGGTGTCAAGATCATTATCCTTAATTTTTAATTTTCTTCAACGTGTTTACTTTTGAACCTTTACTCAGCGATATTTGTTTTTTGTTTATAATGACACTACTTCTCGAAATTGTAGTTCCATCATTAACGTAAATAGAGAAAAGTGCCAAATTATAAAAAGTCAGTGCTGGCGGTTCGAAGCTCGTCACAAATTGTGAAACTCGAAACGACGGGAAATTCCATAGAGCGATGACAGAAGATTTAAAACAGTGACAAAGCCCGCTGTTTGGGTTCAATTTGCGGTAAAGAAAAATAGAGTTGATGACAAAAATCTCCTTCATTTGAAATATACAACTTCCCAAAAATTATGGGTTTTTTTTTTCTGTGCTTATAAAGATTTCCTTTCACAAATTGTTTTGTCCTGTGCCCAAATTAAACTGATATGCAGCTCGTTTGAATCCCGTTCATATTATGACAGAAGTGATGATTTGAAATAGAAGGACCTTGAAAAATATGGAAGTTAATTTGCAAGGCTCCCAATAGTGATGAGTCGGGAACTAATTGTTGACCTGCAGGTCTCGCTTACCTTAAGTCTGCAGCAATTTTATCTATTATCAATTATAGTTTAAAAGATATTCCAATGAGCGCCTTTGAAGCCAAATACAATACTGGATGGTTCGGCTGAATCCAATCCTTAATTACGGCACACCCTTTCTAAATATCAATATATTTTTTAATCTTTTCTCAGTGATATTTCTTTAAGTTTATAGTTACACCCCTTTTCGAAACCGTAGTTCCATCATTACCGTAAATAGAGAAAAGTGCCAAATCATGAAAAAGTCAGTGCTGGCCGTTCCAAGCTCGTCACAAATTGCGACACTAGAAACGACAGGAAATTCCAAAGAGCGATGAGAGAGGATTTAATGCCGTGACGAAGCCCGCTGTTTGTAGACATTAATGGTATTTTGCGTTCCTGTATTATTTCGAATAATTAGGAGGGCCAAACGAGAAAAATATTTTGCTCGACGTAGTGAAGTAGGTGGTCCATCAGAGAACGTGACTTATTTCATTATTTCAGATTCATTTCAAGATGAAGTGTAAATAAAGAATTCGTGTTTTTAAAAAATTAAAGCGAACTGTGCAAGTGCAGGGTTAACGTCTTTTCGACGGATAAGGTTACTCCAACCTGTTTGGTCCTTCACACCGATTACCATATTTAATGAGATTTCTTTTCGTCAATTATCGACGCTTGAGTCAATCTTGAAAGGAGCGTTCCCCTAAGAGTGAAAAAAAAAACAAAAAAACAAAAAAAAAACGCTGAATCTATCTATCTTGAAAATTTTAAGGTGTTATTTCTCAGAAACCCGAGGGAACTTGGTTTTTTATTTGACTGCATTATCTAAGCATGTTCACCTATTGTTCTTAAGAATATGTTTATAATTTTATTGTCTTAGACGCAAACTACGAATCGTTTTCTATCCCCATATTCATACTTCAGCCCGTGTTATCTTATTTCCCATCACTCTTTATTTCTATTTCGCTCTTAGCCAACTTAAGCGAAGTAATTTTTATAGACGAACAATGCTGGAATTTGGAACAAACCACTCTTTCTGGTTTTAAGAAATTGTTTATAAAAATAGGGTAGCCGGTCTCATAAGCTTTTAGCCATTTTGTGGAATCGAAAAAATCTTCCAAGTGATAATTTTCGAAGAGGAGGCTTCAAAACTTGCCAAATAACAAATAGCTTGATTCAGATGATCCTTAAAAACTTTTGCACAGAAGCTTCACGCAATTTTCAAGTCTTTTGTTCTTCAAAAATTAATCTCACAGCAAGGATACCCTAGACTGAAATTTATTCAAGTATATATTATTCAGCGTTTTAAAACGCTGTTGCTGTGATCATTGTTATTCAACAGTAGAAAAATTATGTAGGTGGACGTTTTCCGAAATGACAAAAAATAAATGAAGAACTGAAAACGATGGAAAGGTAAACGAGTTCTTTTTAGAAAACAAATGACGGAAATAAAGAGTTGACCATATTCACCATAGCTAAGCAACTCTAACAACCTACGTTGGCTAGCACAAGTAAGAATTTAAAAATGTCATTCTAGATTCATACATTTAGAAAACTTTTCAAAACTAATATAAATCTGCTCACTAACGCAAGAAAAGAATGTTTATTTTTTTTCGGCCTCAATTCGCATGAATTTCCCCTGCTCATAATGACCGTTCGAAGAAAAGAGACACGACAAACCTCTTTAGTTATACATTCCTTTAATAGATACTCAATAGTCAAGAAACTGTTTATTGAAACTGGTGCTTGATTTTGTCATGTATATGTCATTTCGTGCATTCGATCATTCAGGAGCTTAATATCTCAAAAACTCTGACCAGGGATGATCTTCTTTGAAGGATACCCTATTATCTCACCCTTATTTTCCTTAGAAACTTGGACTGTACTAGAGACCTAATTACCTTCTTGGACTGAAATCGCTGATATAATGCAGAGGGAGCACAATAGGATTTTACGGGGGTCAGTGATTATATAATTATAGCGCCTGACCACAGGGGACACTTTCAATAAATTAATAATAACAAATTATAGTCCAAGACGCATGACTCAAGTCAATCCTTTGCGTTAGGTTAAAATTTTCACCTGGTATTTTTTTCACTAGTTTACCTTTTTGGTGCAAAGAACCCAAACAGGAAGAGGGAAGTTTATCTCTAATATTAATGATCATCTTGGCATAAAACCAACAGATTCTATCGTAACCATAGCTACCTGACAGTAATAAAAGAAAACGCGTTTGGCTCAATAACACTAAAGTTGGGCACCAAAGAACGTTGGATCTTTGAAGGTAAGAAACGATCATACCTAAAGCATATATAACTTGAGTTTGACTTTCATTCCATGATATAAATTGGATATCCACCCTTGACTCCTCTATTTCTGTGTAGTTGAAATCAAGCGAAAATGAAATTTACCGAGCTTCCAAATATGGGTATAAAAACATTTGGCATGAAAACAGCTTCAGCTAATTGAAATAAACAAGATAGTTTCCTACAACGGGATTCCTTTTTGAGCCTTTTTTGAGTGATATTTCTTTAAGTTTATAATTACACCCCTTCTCGAAATTGTAGTTTCATCATTACCGTAAATAGAGAAAAGTGCCAAATTATGAAAAGGTCAGTGCTGGCTGTTCCAAGCTCATCACAAATTGTGAAACTGGAAATGACAGGAAATTCCAAATAGCGATGAGAGGGGATTTAATGCTGTGACGAAGCCCGCTGTCTGGGTTCAAATTACAATAAAAAAAATATAGAGTTAATGACAAAAATCTTCTTTATTTGAAATATCCAACTTGTCAAAAACTATGGCTGTTTTTTCTCTCTGTATTTATAAAGATTTCCTTTCAAAAATGATTTTGTCTCATCCACCAAAATTGTTGATTTTGAAATAGAAGAACCTTGAAAAATATGGAAGTTGATTTGCATGGCTCCTAATCAGAAATACGAGTCGGGAACTAATTGTTGGCTCACAGGTCCCGTTAAGTCTTTAGCAGTTTTATCTAACGAAGGAAAATCTGAAAATATTTTATAATTTAGAAGGTATTCCAATGAAGCCCTTGGAGGCCAAATCCGATACTGAATGGTTTGGCTGAATCAAATCATAAATTACAGCACACCTTTTCCAAATATCAATTTGCTATTATCCTTGAGGTGGAGGTGGCGCTTAAAACAACACTCAGAGCATCGTCTCAGCAAGACTCTGGACTAAGTATAACAACTGTATTGTGCTCAATCATTATAAGATATTTGAGGGGTTCTGCCTTGGCACTCTTTATGCAATCTTGATTTATCGAGACATTGGTTGTAAGTTGCTGGGCAAATCTATGGAATTTCAGTAGTTTTAGGGGAGATTTTCTGTTTCTTCATACTAAAGAGCTTATTAGAACTCATCATTAATTAATCTTGAGGTTTATGAATGTGAGGGAAGATAAAATGACTAATCACTGAGGACTTCAAATTGGAAAACCATCCTTAACTTGTTGCGTTCCTGTATTGCTTATAGTAAGTAGAAGGTTGAAACACGATGTAGTTAAGTGGGTGCTGTCAAAATCCATTAAAGAACGTGGCTTATTTTATCATTTCTGATCTATTTCAAGATATAATCTAAATTAAGACTTCATGTTTTTGGAAAATGAAAGTAAACTGTGCGAATGCAGGGCTAATCTTTTCTTTTGGCGGATAAGTCTACGCCAACCTGTCTGTTCCTACACACCGATTACCATTATCCGTATGATTTCATGAGCCCGGAATGTCGGTACATGAGATTTTTATATTTCTATCGCCATGTTTTGCGATTATTGCTTTTTGTCAATTTTTGACGCTTCGATCAATTTTAGGAAATGTTTTCCCCTGGTGATTAAAAAAAAAAAAAAAAAAAAAAACGCTGAATCCATGGATCGATTTTGTAACTTTGAAGGTGTTGTTTCTCAGAAACTCGACGGAACTTGACTTTTATGCAGTAACGGAGTATGTTTACCTAATGTTCTCAAGAATATGTTTATAATGTTATTTCCTTAAACACACTCCATTGACAATAGTTATGGAGCAATTGAAGTTAATGTTATGGAAATTTGAGTGGCAAAATGTCTGAGTCTAATATGAAGGTAAACACCGATAGAATCGTAGCTCGCCAAATCCAAAGTCTTTCCATATATCCCAAACGCGTGCCAACGCATTTTATTTGCTTCAATCATTCCAATGGGTGTGGACTGACTGCTATTAATTTTTTTAACATCCCATATTCAATAGAAAAGGGTCGGTATCTATCACTTAACCAATTATCGAATGCAGGTGGTGTTATTTCTGTTTAAAAATAATTCATTTCAGCTCGTGTTATTTCCCATCACTCTTTATTTTTATTTTGGTGATTCACTACAGTTGATGCTCTGAGCTTATAACTGGTCATTGTGACAAAACTAAAATCCTGAACTCAACGAACATGATTTTTAAGGGAAGGAACCTTAGTCTTGTAAACTTGTTTTGTTGACATCAATGGTATTTCGCAAGGGTGTGTTATTATAATGAGCCATCGACAGTCTTCGTACAATCCTGATGCATCGAGGCATAGGTCGTAATTTTCTCGGCAAATTTATTGAATTTCTGTATTTTAAGATCAGTCGTTTACGAGAGATTTTCTGTTTGTTCAATCTAAAGAGCTTATTAGAACTCATCTTTTATTGATTTTGACGTTAATGAATGTGAGGGAAGATGAAATAACTTATCAATTTGGACTTAAAATTAATTTAGTTTTGTGCGTCCCTGTATTGTTTCGAATAATTAGGAGGGCAAAACGATAATATATATATATAATATATATAACTACAAACACGATATTCGAAATTCAAAAAAGAGTTTCCCTCATTAATTTCCTCGAATTAGAACAAGAGGCTCACAATCCATCAAAGAGCGTGACTTATTTTATAATATCAGATTCATTTCAAGATAAAGTCTTTTAAAAGTAAGAATTCATGTTTTTGGAAAATGAAAGCGAACTGTGCGAGTGCAAGGTTAACGTCTTTTCGGCGAATAAGGTTATGACAACCTGTCTGGTCCTTCACACCGATTATCATATTTTGTGAGAATTTTCTTTTCGTCAATTATCGACGATTCAGTCAATCTTGTTAGGGGTTTTCCCCTGAGAGTGAAAAAAAAAACAAACAAACAAACAAACCAACAAACAAACGCTGAATCTATGGATCGATCTTAAAAATTTCAAGATATTGTTTCTCAGAAACTCGAGTGAACTTGGCTTTTTATGTGACTGAATTATCTAGGCATATCCACCTAATGTTCTTAAGTATATGTTTATAATGTTGTTGTCTTAAACAGAAACTACGAATCGTTTTCTATCCCCGTTTTATCTTATTTCCCATCATACTTTATTTCTACTTCGATGGTTGACAACAGTTGAAGCACTTGGGCTTATAAGGTGTCGTATGACAAGACTAAAAACTTGAGCCTAACAAGCGTGATTTTAAAGGGAAGGAACCTTAGTCTTGTAAACTTGTTTTGTAGAAATCAATGGTATTTAGCAAGGGTGTGTTATTATAATGCGCCAAATCGGAAATTTGCAGAAGTATTTTGTTACAAAAAAAAAGAACTGCTACGGTGAAGAATTGCTTCATTCAAAACCACTTCAATCCTAACGCTCAGCTCATATTTACATGGGCGAGTAATCGATTCCATCAAAAAATATTTCGTTGTTGGTTCACAGACGGGAATTCGCTAATTTGCATGGAAGAAAAAATGGCCGCTCTCAGCCAACTTAAGCGAAGTCATTTTTTATAGACGAACAATGCTGGCATTTGGAACAAACCACTCTTTCTGGTAGCCGGTCTCATAAGCTTTTAGCCATTTTGTGGAATTGAAAAAAGTCTCCCCAGAGTTAATTTTTGAAGTGTAGGCTTTTAAACTTGCCAAATAACAAATAGTTTGATTGAGATGATCCTTAAAAAACTTTTGCACAGAAGCTTCATGCAATTTTCAAACTTTTTGTTTTTCCAAAATTAATCTCATAGCAAGGATCTCATAGACTGAAATTATTAAAGTTTATATTATTCAGTGTTTTTAAAACGATGTAGCTGTAATCAATATTTTTCAACTTCTGAAAAAATGATGTAGGCGGACGTTTTTTTTCGAAATAAGAAACAAAAAAAAATGAATGACTGAAAACGATGACAGATTAATGAGTTGTTTTAAGAAAACAAGTATCGGAAATATAGAGATGATTATATTCACCATAGCTAAGCAATTCTAACAACCTACGTTGGCTAACAAAAAGTAAAAATTTTAAAATGTTATTTTGGGTTTGTACGTTTCGAAACTTCGAAAACTGAAATAAATCTGCCCATTGATGAAAGATTTTTTCGGCTTCAATTCGCACAAATTTCCTCTGTTCACGATAACCGTTCGAAGAAAAAAGCCACAGGGAACCTCTTCACTAATACATTTCTTTAATAAACCCTCAATAGTCAAGCAACTGTTTATTGAAACTGGTGCTTGACTTTGTCATATATATGTAATTCCGTGCATTCGATCATTCAGGTGCTTAATATCTCATACACTTTGACCAGTGATAATCTTCTTTGAAGGATACCCTAGTATATCGCCCTCATTTTCCTTAGAAACTTGGACCGTACAGGAGACTTAATTACCTTCTTCGACTGAACTCGCTAATGTAATGCAGAAGGAGCACAATAGGACTTTATAGGCGTCAGTCATTATATAAATATAACGCCTTTGGCACTGGACCACAGACGACTCTTTCAAAGAATTAATAATAACAATTTATAGTCCAAGACGCATGACTCCAGTCAATCTGTTGCATTAGGTTCAATTTTTCACCTAGTATTATTTTACGAGTCTAGCTTTTGGTGCAAAGAGCCCAAACAGGAAGAAAGCAGTTCATTTCTAATATTAATATTCATCTTGGCTTGAAACCAACAGTTGCTATCGTAACCATACCTATCAGACAGTAATAAAAGAAAACACGTTTGGCTCAATGACACTAAAGTTGGGCACCAAAGAACGTTGAATCTTTGAGGGTATGAAGTGATATATTTAATGCATGGATAACTTGAGTTTGACTTTTATTCCATGATATAAATTGAATATCCACTCTTAACTTCTTTATTTCTGTGTGGCTGAAATAAAACGAAAATGAAAAATACCGAGCTTTCAAATGTGGATATAACAAACTTTTTGCGAAAAAACAGCCTCAGCTATTTGAAATAAACAAGATCATAGTCCTTAATTTTAGTTTCCTACAAGGGTTTACTTCTTAAACCTTTTCTCGGCGATATTTGTTTATGGTTATAATGACACCCCATGTAGAAATTGTAGTTCCATCATTACCGTAAATAGAGAAAAGTGCCAAATTATAAAAAGTCAATGCTGGCGGTTCCAAGCTCGTCGCAAATTGTGAAACTCGAAACGACAGGAAATTCCATAAAGTGATAAGAGAGGTATTAATGCAGTGACGAAGCCCGCTGTTTGAGTTCAATTTACGGTAAAGAAAAATAGAGTTGATGACAAAAATCTTCTTTATTTGAAATATCTAACTTGCCAAATATTACGGTTGTTTTTTTCTGTACTTGGAAAGATTTCCTCTCACAGATTGTTTTGTTCTATCCCTCAACTTAGACCAATATGCAGCTCGTTTGAATTCCGTTCATATTGTGACAAAAGTGATGATTTTGAACAAGAAGAACCTCGATAAAATATGGAAGTTGATTTACTTGGCTTCCAATCAGAAAAATAAGTCGGGAACCAAATGTTGGCTCACATGTCTCTTTAACCTTAAGTCTGCAACAATTTTATCTAACGGAGGAAAACCTGAAAATGTCTTATAATTTAAAAGTTCTTCCAATGAAGGCATTGGAAGCCAGATCCGATACTGAATGGTTTGGATGAATCCAATCATAAATTACGGTACACCTTTTCCAAACATCAATTTGCTATTATCTTTGAGATGAGAATGGTGTTTAAAACAACATTCAGGGGTTCTCCTTCGACAATCTTTATTCAATCCTGATGTATCGAGACATAGGTCGTTAGTTGCTCAGAAAATTTTTGATATTTTTGTTGTTTAATATCCACCATCTACGGGAGATTTATTTTTTGTTCAAACTAAAGAGCTTATTAGAACTCGTCATTAATCAATCTTGACGTTAACGAATGTCGGGGAAGATGAAATGGCTAATAACTTAGGACTTCAAATTATTGCGTTCCTGTATTATTTCGAGTAAGTAGGAGGGCCAAACGAGAAAATATTTTGCTCGCTGTAGTGAAGTGGGAGGTACAGCTTAATAACTTCAAACACGATATTCTAAATTCAAAAAGGAGTTTCTCCTATTCATTTCGTCGAATTAGAACAAGAGACTAACAATCTATCCCAGAACGTGGCTTATTTTATAATTTCAGACATATTTCAAGATACAGTCTTAATTAAGAATTCCTGTTTTTGGAAAATGAAAGCTTACTGTGCGAGTGTTTTTTTTTTTTTTGGCGGATAAGGTTACGCCAGCCTGTCTGCTCCTACAAACCGATTATCATTATCCGCAGGATTTCGTGAGCGAGACTTTCGGTACATAAGATCTATTTTTATTACCATATTTTTGTGAGAATTTTCTTTTCGTCAATTATTGACGCTTCAATTAAACTTGTAAGGAGTTTCCCCTGATAATGAAACAAAAAACAAAACAAAACAAAACAAACACACAAACGAAGAAACGTTGAATTTATGGATCGATCTTGAAAATTGGGAGTTCTAAGAAACTCAAGGGAACTTGGCTTTTTATGTGACTGCATTATTGGAATATGTTCACCTAATGTTCTTAAGAACATCAAAACGAGAAAAACGAGAATATATTTTGTTCGATGTAGTGAAGTGGGTGGTACAGCTTAACAACTACAAACACGATATTCGAAATTCAAAAAAGAGTTTCTCTTATTAATTTCGCTGAATTAGAACAAAGGACTCACAATCCATTAAAGAATGTGACTTATTTTATAATTTCAGATTTATTTCAAGATGAAGTCTAAATTAAGAATTCATGCTTTTGGAAAATGAAGCGAACTGTGCGAGTGCAAGGGTTCACGTCTTTTTCGGCGGATAATGTTATGACAACCTGTCTGGTCCTTCACACCGATTACCATATTTTATAAGAATTTTCTTTTCGTCAATTATCGACGCTTCAGTCAACCTTGTGAGGGGTTTTCCCCTGAAAGTGAAAACAAAAAACAAAAAAAAAAACAAAAAACGAAACGCTGAATCTATGGATCGATCTTGAAAATTTCAAGGTGTTGTTTCTCAGAAACTCGAGAGAACTTGGCTTTTTATCTGACTGCATTATCTAGGCATGTTCACCTAATGTTCTTAAGAATGTTTACAATGTTGTTTAAACGGAAACTACGAATCGTTTTCTATCCTCATATTCATACTTCAGCCCATGTTATCTTATTTCCCATCATACTTTATTTCTATTTCGATGATTGACAACAGTTGAAGCACTGAGCTTATAAGGTGTCGTCATGACAAGACTAAAAACTTGAGCCTAAAAAGCGTGATTTAAAGGGAAGAAACATTAATCTTGTGAACTTGTTTTGTAGATATCAATGGCATTTAGCAAGGGTATGTTATTATAATGCACCACATCGGAAATTTGCAGAAGTATTTTGTTACAAAAAAAAAGAACTGCTACGGTGAAGAATTATTTTATTCAAAACCACTTCAATCCTAACGCTCAGCTCATATTTACATGGACGGGAAATCAATTCTATCAAAAATATTTCGTTGTTGTTTCGCAGACGGGAATTCGCTAATTTGCATGAAAGAAAAATTGGCCACTCTCAGCCAACTTAAGCTAAGTCATTTTTAGAAACGAACAATGCTGCCATTTAGAACAAACCGCTCTCTCTGGTTTTAAGACATTGTTTATAAAAAAAAGGGTAGCCGGTCTCATAAGCTTTTAACCATTTTGTGGAATTGAAAAAAGTCTTCTAAGAGCTAACTTTTGAAGTGTAGGCTTTTAAACTTGCCAAATAACAAATAGCTTGATTGCGATGATCCTTAAAAAACTTTCGCACAGAAGCTTCGTGCAATTTTCAAACTTTTTGTTTTTCCAAAATTAATATCACAGCAAGGATCCCCTAGACTGAAATTATTCACGTTTATATTATTTAGTGTTTTAAAACGATGTAGCTCTAATCAATATTTTTCAACTTCTGAAAAATGATGTAGGCGGACGTTTTTTTTCGAAATAAGAAACAAAAAATGAATGACTAAAAACGATGATAGATAAATGATTTGTTTGAAGAAAACAAGTAACGGAAAAATAGACATGATTATATTCACCATAGCTAAGCAATTCTAACAACCTACGTCGGCTAGCAAAAGTAAAAAATTTAAAATGTTATTCTGGGTTGGTACGTTTCGAATCTTCGAAAACTGAAATAAATCTGCCCATTGACGCAAGACAAGAACGTTTTTTTTCGGCTTCAATTCGCATGAATTTCCTCCGTTCATGATAATCGTTCGAAGAAAAAAGCCACAGGGAACCTCTTCACTAATACATTTCTTTAATAAACCCTCAATAGTCAAGCAACTGTTTATTGAAACTGGTGCTTGACTTTGTCATATATATGTAATTCCGTGCATTCGATCATTCAGGTGCTTAATATCTCATACACTTGGACCAAGCATGATCTTCTTTGAAGGATACCCTAGTATATCGCCCTCATTTTCCTTAGAAACTTGGACCGTACAGGAGACTTAATTACCTTCTTAGACTGAACTCGCTAATGTAATGCAGAAGGAGCACAATAGAATTTTACGGGGGTCAGTCATTATATAAATATAACGCCTTTGGCACCTGACCACAGACGACACTTTCAAAGAATTAATAATAACAATTTACAGTCCAAGACGCATGGCTCCAGTCATTCCGTTGCATTAGGTTAAATTTTTCACCTGGTATTATTTTAGCAATTTAGCTTTTTGTGCAAAGAGCCTAAACAGGAAGAGGGAAGTTAATTTCTAGTATTAATGGTCCTCTTGGCTTGAAACCAACAGTTTCTATCGTAACCATAGCTACAGCTCATTAGGGGTTTTCCCCTGAGAGTGAAAAGAAATTTATTTCGATGGTTGACAACAGTTGAAGCACTGAGCCTATAAGGTCTCGTATGCCAAGACTAAAAACTTGAGCCTAACAAGCGTGACTTTAAAGGGAAGAAACATTAATCTTGTGAACTTGTTTTTCAAGGGTGTGTTATTATAATACGCCACATCGGAAATTTGCAGAAGTATTTTGTTACAAAAAAAACTGTTACGGTGAAGAATTGCTTCATTCAAAACCACTTCAATCCTAACGCTCAGCTCATATCTACATGGACGAGAAATCAATTCTATCAAAAATATTTCGTTGTTGTTTCGCAGACGGGAATTCGCTAATTTGCATGGAAGAAAAATTGGCCGCTCTCAGCCAACTTAAGCGAAGTCATTTTTATAGACGAACAATGCTGGCATTTGGAACAAACCACTCTTTCTGGTTTTAAGACATTGTTTATAAAAAAAAGGGTAGCCGGTCTCATAAGCTTTTAGCCATTTTGTGGAATTGAAAAAAGTCTTCCAAGAGTTAATTTTTGAAGTGTAGGCTTTTAAACTTGCCAAATTACAAATAGCTTAAAAAGTTTTTGCACAGAAGCTTAGTGCAATTTTCAAACTTTTTTTTTTCCGAAATTAATATCACAGCAGTGATAGTGGGAGGTACAATTAATTAATTTTTGAAGTGTAGGCTTTTAAACTTGCCAAATAACAAATAGCTTAAAAGTTTTTGCACAGAAGCTTAGTGCAATTTTCAAACTTTTTTTTTCCGAAATTAATATCACAGTAGTGAAGTGGGAGGTACAGCTTAACAACTTCAAACACGATATTCTAAATTCAAAAAGGAGTTTCTCTTATTCATTTCGTCGAATTAGAACGAGAGACTGGCATATTAAATAATTTCAGACATATTTCAAGATACAGTCTTAATAAAGAATTCGTGTTTTTGGAAAATGAAAGCTAACTGTGCGAGTGTTTTTTTTTTTTTTTGGCAGATAAAGTTGCGCCAGCCTGTCTGCTCCTACACACCGATTACCATTATCCGCAGGATTTCGTGAGCGGGACTTTCGGTACATAAGATCTATTTTTATTTCCATATTTTTGTGAGAATTTTCTTTTCGTCAATTACTGACGCTTCAATTAAACTTGTAAGGAGTTTCCCCAGAGAATGAAACAAAAAAACAAAACAAAACAAAACAAAACAAACACACAAACGAAGAAACGTTGAATTCATGGATTGATCTTGAAAATTGGGAGTTCGCAGAAACTCAAGGGAACTTGGCTTTTTATGTGACTCTATGACATTATTCACCTAATGTTCTTAAGAATATTTTTATGATGTTATTGTCTTAAACGCACTCCATTGACTATAATTATGAAGCAATTGAAGTTAATGTTATGGAAATTTGTGTGGTAAAATCCCTTTTTCTAATTTGTTGATAAATACCAATAGAATCATAGCCCATCAAAACCAAAGTGTTTCTAACTGGCACAAAGGAAGACATTGGAAACGCGTTGATTCGCAAACTTTAAAACGCCTACCCACGTATATTATTTGCAGGGTCAGGACTGACAGCTGTTAATTTTGTTAACATCCCATTTTTAATACTAATAGGTCGGTTTCTATCACTTAAATTCATCATCAAATGCAGGTGGTCGACGCGAAATTTGTGGCACACTGAAAGTATCAATACTGAGCTCCGTTGTCTTGAGGAAGCATGGAATTTTCAGCGCTTCTAGTATTCGCAGTCTGGACTTCATCGACGACTTACCTGACGTTTGGTAAAGGTGAGTTACAAAATGCGCATCATTTTCCATCCCTATATTCATACTCCAGCCTGTGCTATCTTATTTTCCGTCACTCTTTATTTCTATTTCGCTGATTTACAACAGCTGATGCACTGAGCTTATTAACGTGTCGTTATGACAAAATTAAAAACCTGAATTCAACAAAGATGATTTTTAAAGGAAGGAACCTCAGTCTTGTAAACTTCTTTTGTAGATATTAACATTATTTAACAAAGGCGTATTATTATGATGAACCATATCGGAAATTTTCAGTTGTTACAAAAAAAGTAAGAATTGCTACGATGAAGAATTGCTTCGTTCAAAACAACTTCAATCCTAACCCTCATCAGCTCATATTTACATGGAAGGATAATCAATTCTATCAAAAACATTTCGTTGTTGTGTTGCAGACGGGAATTCGATAATTTGCATGGAAAAAAAATTGGCCGCTCTTAGCCAACTTAAGCGAAGTTATTTTTATAGAAGGACAATGGTGGCATTTGGAATAGACCAATTTGTACTGGTTTTAAATATTTGTCTATAAAAATAGGGTAGCCCGTCTCCATATAATTTAACCATTGTGTGGGATTGAAAAATAAAACCTTTGACGCAAAATCCTTTTAAATATTGCTTTTCGAATTGGAGGCTTTAAAACTTGCCAAAGAACAAATAGCTTAATTGAGATGATCCTCAAGGAAACCTTTGCACAGAAGCTGCGTGTAATTTTCCAATTTTGCGCTCTTTCATAATCAATATCCCAGCAAGGATTCCTTAGACTAAAATTCATTTAATATATATTTTCAGTGTTTTAAAAACTCTGTTGCTGTGATCAATATTTTTCAATAGCATAGAAATGATTTGGGTAGACTTTATTCGACATGAGAAAAACAACTAATGAATTAAAACGATGAACAGATAAATGAATTTTTTCAGAAAACAAATGAGGGAAATAAAAAGATGATTATATTCACCATAGCTAAGCAATTCAAACAACTTTCATTGGCTCGCAAAAGTAAAAGAAATAAAATTTCGTTCTACATTTGCCCGTTTAGAAAACTCTCGAAAACGAATACAAATCTGCTCATTGACGCAAAACAAGAATGATTTTTCTCGGCTTAAATTTGCATGAATTCCCTCTGTTCACGATAGTCGTTCGAAGAAAAGAGCCGCAGGGGAGCTCTTCAGTTATACATTTCTCTAATAAACACTCAATAGTCAAGCACCTGTTTATATAAAGAAAAAAAAAGAAGAAGAAAAACTTTACACTTTTTCACTTTAAGACCATCTCTGGTCAAAGTTTTTGAGATATTAAAGGCTCCTTATAAAAGAATTTAAATTGTGTTCATTGCACTGATGAAAAATGCATCAAAAAATGTAAACATTAATAAACTCCCTTTGTAGTAGGAATTTCACAGAGCGTTTGATGAGCTCATCTTTTCTATCGATATGATAGACTCATCTAAAAACGTACGAGCTTCTTGAATTGCCAAACTCATGTGAAACTCGAAATATTTGCCATAAATGTTCCGTATCTCAGAAACCCCCAAACTCTCAAATAAAGGTATTTTCATGTTATTGTTTAATTGTAGAAAACGGCGAAGCGATTCACAAAATTTTCAATTACATCTAACGAATCATCGTTTTTGAATAACATAATAACAAAAATTAATGTTTATACAAATTTTTGTGCATTAGATCATTCGGTATTTCGTTTCTCCTTTTTTTTTCAGAACGCTTGTGACAAGAGTCCCTACTGCGAAAATAACGCAACTTGCCAGTCTGGATTTACACTCAAGGGATATCGATGCTTGTGTCCTCCTGGATTCAAAGGAGAATATTGTGAAAAGGGTATGAGTCTAAGTCAACACTTGAAATGAACCTCTATGAGATTTTTTCTGATTTTCAATGCTGGTATGACAACTGTTCTTTAGTTGCTGAAAGTGGCGTGAATTTATCTCATTGTATAAGGTGCTGAATCTTAGAATCTAAGAAAAATTTCTTAATATATTCCATTTAGCGTGTATAATGTATTCTTCGTTCGCTCGTTTGTATATTTTAGTTTTGTTTTGTTTTGTCTGCTTGTTTGTTGTTTTTTTGTTTTGTTTTTTGTATTTGTATTTGTTTTTGTTTTTTTGTTTTATTCTTTTATTTTTTTTATTTACCTTGAATGTTCGACGCCTTTCCAAGGCAAAATAAGAGCAGTTCATTCGTATGTCGAGTACTTAATAAAGTAACTGCGAGGAGAGCTCAGAAATAATAGCTTAATAGAAAGCTACGTACGGCCAGAAAACTACTAAAAGCAGGAAGCTTCAAATAAATTGAGGTTTTCGTGAGTTGCTGAGTTGCTGAGTTCCTATGGCTGTTTGATAGAAATCAAAATGCTTATATCTGTAATGGATATTTATTCATGTATTTTTTTTTTTTTGGGTCATTCTTTCTTTCTAATTTTACGACAGATAAATGTGAGGCATTCATTGGCAAATGTCACAAGGAGGCTACGTGTAATAACACAAACGGATCATACGTGTGCATATGCAAATCTGGATTTATCGGAGATGGGCATAATTGTACAGGTAACCTTCATTAGTCTCAAAAGCCTTTAGATTCTTGTTGAATAGTGTAATGAGATTTTGTTTGGTTGGTTGTTTGTTGATGTTTATTTTGGTAACTTGGCAAGCCATATTTTAATTGTTTGGAATAGGTGAGACAGTTACCTGACTAAAAGTTATTAAGAGATAGGTTTTTTGCGTAGACAACTTTTTTTCATCAGGTACGACAATCTCGCGTTCTCGCAATCCAGCAAAAGATTGAAAACAGCCACGGCTTGCTCTCTTTAAACACGGTAATGGCTTATGCACAACAATTTTTGCATAATTTCGAAATCCCATTTTTTTTAATCTGTGATTTCATAGACATTGACGAGTGTAAAGGAAACCACTCTTGTCACGAGAATGCAAACTGCACCAACACCAATGGATCACACATATGCGATTGTCAGCCTGGATATACTGGAAATGGACAAAGTTGCACAGGTGAATTCGGAATAGCAAGGAAATGCGGTCATGGATGATTTATTTTAGTTTGTTCTTTCTTTTTTTGTATATATAACGTGTTTTATGCTCCCCTAGCAAAACAAAAGCAGTTTAAAGCGTATGCTTTAGATAACACAGTAAAGGCTTATGCCACGGCAATATTTGCATAATTCTGAAATCCCATTTTTACATCTGTGGTTTAATAGACATTGACGAGTGTAAAGGAAACCACTCTTGTCATGAGAATGCAAACTGCACCAACACCAATGGATCACACGTATGCGATTGTCATCCTGGATATACTGGAAATGGACAAAATTGCACAGGTGAATTCGGAATAGCAAGGAAATGCGGTCATGGATGATTTATTTTAGTTTGTTCTTTCTTTTTTTGTATATATAACGTGTTTTGTGCTCCCCTAGCAAAACAAAAGCAGTTTAAAGCGTATGCTTTAGATAACACAGTAAAGGCTTATGCCACGGCAATATTTGCATAATTCTGAAATCCCATTTTTACATCTGTGGTTTCATAGACATTGACGAGTGTAGAGGAAACCACTCTTGTCATGAGAATGCAAACTGCACCAACACCAATGGATCACACGTATGCGATTGTCATCCTGGATATACTGGAAATGGACAAAATTGCACAGGTAAATTAGGAATAGCAAGGAAATGCGGTCATGGATGATTTATTTTAGTTCGTTCTTTCTTTTTTTGTATATATAACGTGTTTTGTGCTCCCGTTGCAAAACAAAAGCAGTTTATAGCGTATGCTTTAGATAGTCTTTGCCGTGCCAAAGAAAAAATTGAAAAATAGCGGTTTGAATTGTAGGTCCAACCCAAGAATCGCATGAAAAAAAAAATTTGCAAACGAGTATTCCACTTTTTTTCACATACATGTACATGTATGAATTTTGAATAAAACACAAATCCCGTTTTTCATTCTTTTTTTTTTTTTTTTTTTTTTTTTTTTTTTTGACAGATATTGACGAATGCAAAACATATCCCTACAAATGTCACGTAAATGCTCTTTGTAAGAACACGCACGGATCACACGTTTGCACATGCAAACCTGGATATACTGGAGATGGACGCAACTGTACAGGTACAGTCAATAATCTCAGGAGCCTTCATATTCGTTTTGACTATTATAATGAATTTTTGTACGTTGTTGCCGAAGCGGCTAGAGCGCGAACGAAGTGTAGAGAGAAACACTATACGTAGTCGAGAAGTATTTGCGTCTCTGCTCACGTTATGATCGCGTAAATTACGGCGCTTGGCATGTTTTGAAACCTTAATTTGGTTCTTCTATGGCGTGACAGTTTTAGGTCAGCCTTATGTTTTCAGTACTCCGATAGGGCACGCTTTTTCGACCGATGACAGCACGCGTTATATCCGAACTTTATCATAATTAGTATTGGATTATTTGTATTACACCACCTTAAATCATGTTACAGACCCCTTCATCATTGATGGTTTTTGTGTCTTTCTGCCTTTGGATGGGCGTTGCAACAATAATAGACGACGGCGGGAAACATTCTTTTGAGTGACATTCTTTGTAGCTTGATTTTGACGTACACATTGCATTTGACGAACACATTGCTGCTTAGTTGTATGTAAACTACGTTAGCTGCGCCTTAAGTTTGCTGAAAGCTGTCTTTTAATGCGTTAATGCGTTACACAGATTCAGATACTACTTTTCGTAGTTAATAAATTTTATTTCCCATATTTATTTCCTAGCCTCATGGTCTAAAAATGTCCCACACAAGTATTACTTCACCTCCTTTTTTAATGTAGTTGTCATTTCTAAGTCCTGTTGTAATAATTATTTCACTTTGTAGCCGATCCTTGTTATCATTATAAAAACCTGAGTGATGCCAATAGAAAGAAAAGTTACATAACACCTCAAATATCAGAGCTGTGTGACACGGAACTCGCTGAGGGATGGTATCGTTTTGTGGGAGCTTCAGGAACAAAAATGCCAACAACGCGTGTGCCAGCATACAGATGTGGTACAACCTGGTCAGGCTGGTTGGATGGTGCTCATCCAACAGTGGAAGATGGTAAAGTTCTCAGAAAAGTCTGCTTTAGTGATCGCTCTACTGGTTGCTACTACTCAAAGAATATTTTTGTGAAAAACTGTGGATCATACTATATCTACGAACTTTTCAAGCCTCAAGTGTGTAGTGTGCGTTACTGTGGTACAGACTGAATGTAGAGTAAAACTTTTAAGAAATAAGAGAACTCATAAATTGATCCTGAGATACACTTAGGGATTTTGCTAAGTCTTCTTTAATGATAATCATTCATTTTTCTTATCGATTTTATACGCTGATGATGTCCCTTTAACGGGTAGTCAAAAATACTTTGAATTTCAGAATTTACGAAGTATCTCTTTCGTAATAGTAATCACGAATAATCAATTTCTGTTAAAAGAACTACTAGCGAACACAAAGAAAAGCATAGAAAAGGAAAATGCTTAGATGGTGAAATCTTTAACAAGCAGGAACATCATTCAGCATGATAACCAACAAAATATGACGTACACTTATGACGTTTCCATAAACATTCGAAGCTGCTATGCAGGATGCAATATATAGCACGGCATGATAATTTTAGCTTCAGTTTGTATAGGTAATCACTTGATTTCGAGTGCAATTTGGAATAAATAAGCAGGAGTAAAATTTTTCAAAGACTAACAAAATTACACGAGCTCTTAGGGCGAGTGCAATATGTGATCTTTGACAAAATTTACAAGTGCTTATATATTCTAAATAGCACGAGAAAAATAACGTGATTACGTATAAATGATATACATGACAAAAATACGAGATAGCTTATCATAACTATGCAGAAGCAAAGCGCGCGTATTAAGTGCAAAAATAACTTATTCAAACCGTGCGTTCTGTAAAAACAACCGCGTAAAATAAAAACAATAATATTATGCCTGTGATGATGGTGTGATCACATAGAAAAATTACATATGTGGCTTCGCTTCCTATAAGGAGAGGTAGCCACATAAATTGTGATTAGGAATCACCAGTGGAAAGCGCTATCATAGACTGGTAATTAGGTGTGATCATAGCCTTGGAAGCCTGTAATGATAACTTGATCACACTGGAAATAACGTATGTGGCCTTCCCTCCTTCAGAAGGCAGTAGACACACAAATTGTGATTAGGAATCACGAGCGGCAAGCGAGATTACAGATAGGTAATTAGGTGTGGTCATGGCCTTGGAAGCCTGTGATGATAACGTGATCACAAAGAAAAATAAGATATATTTTCGCCACATCAACTGTGATTAGAAATCACGAGTGAAAAGCGTGATCACAGACCAGTATTTAAATGTGATCATGGCTTGGGAAGCCTGTGATGATTGCGTGATCACACTGGAAAATAACGTATGTGCTCTTCCCTCCTTCAGGGGGCAGTAGACACACAAATTGTGATTAGAAATCACAAGCGGAAAGCGTGATCGTAGACTGGTATTTAGATGTGATCACGGCCTGGGAAACCGCAAGGTACCAAGATGTTTATTTGTGTTGAGCTCTAGAGACTGCCTTGGAAAAAAATTAAAGATTTAAAAACGGCTTTATGAGCTAAAAACAGTTGGTCGCAAAACAAACCGAAGTAAACGCGTACAACAAACATTTCAATTATGTTTTGTTGAATTTCTGTAGCATTTAACTCACCAAGAGATGTTACTTTGTGAAAGTTTCTTGCTCCATTGAAACATAAATATTTGGGGTCTTCCACGAAAAATCTTGAAAACAGTAGAACTGTTCCTTGTCGTAAAAATGTACGACTAGAAAAATTTTTGAAAGCCACCATACCAATATGTATTTGAGAACGTTTGATCTACTTTACGGAGTCGTGATGTAAACTAATTATTAAACGAATAATGTTTCCTACATCTATCTGTTTTTATAATCAATAGCCCGCATTTTCTATCGGTTTACCAGCGTAAAAACCAATGCATGACGTTGGGAGAACACGAGAAAATTGTGTGAATCACGAGCCGGAGGTAGGAGTCGAGTGATTGTAAGACTTTTCGTTTATAACGGCAGTTATCCGAAAGAGAGTACTGCCTATTGCTTCTATAAAGTAAACTCAACGCAAAACCTAGTATGGTCAAATTTTCTATGGGATTACCGGTGCAGTAAACGATAGATCATGATATTGATCTGTCAGGGCGCTTGTAGTATCTCAGTTACTTTGTAATGAAATCATGATTTATCAATGAAATATAATTTCAGTTTTGCTTAAACAGGATGATATAGCAAACGCGTCATTAACGCCTTGGAAATCTGGGGAAGAGTGGGGGGAATCTAGCAGTGAAAAAAAACGTTTAGAAACCGCGCTATCTGATAAAGAACTTAGTTGAACATGGTGGATGTTTTAATCACTAAAAACTCAGTTGGTCCAAAGGCCTGAAACAACCAACAAAGACCCCCAAAAATGTAGGAAATTAAATTTTCCAAGGACCAAAAATGTTATCCTCATCCGACATTTGTCTGCATCCCTCTTCAGTAAATCCTAGATTTAATGTGTTTGTAAAACTAAGCGTGTGTCTACGAGAGCATCGGGCAATCGTGCTGTATGCCATCTCACCGAGTTCAATGAAAGTTTGTCAGTTTAAAGGGTCTACTCCAAAACTAAAAACGACAAAGTGGTTTCTGTTTTGGTTTTTTCCGGGGGGAGATTGACCACCCCCCGTTTTGCACCAAGGAAATTGCTTCAAAATAGGTAAAATGTATGAAGCTCTCACTGCAGTGGTATTAAACCAATTACTCTGAAGGTTTGCACAAATATTAATATCATCCTTAGTAAATGTTGGACGCAAGTATCAGTCAATTTGATTGACGGCTTGTGAATCAACAGAGGCAAGTAAACGACTGTGTTTTTAGACTTTTCGATTCATTTAAATATTTGACAACTTTCGGGTCAAATATCTCCCCTCAGTTGCCAGAAAGGTACAACAATAATCTTAATTCCCCTTTATAATCTATCATTTCATCTCTGAAAACCATCATTAAAATCTTTGGGCACTACTGTATTTTTGTCTTGGATGCCTTTTAAAATCTGCAACTGTGACAAGTTTCTCTGTCACATGTCACGCAATTCTGGCTGTAGACAGTGACCAAATATACCCACATTTTTTAGCTCTTCTTTCAAGATGATTGATCACGAAAGCTAAAAAATGTGAAAAACTTTCGAGATTTTTTTTTTGAAGGAATTGAAATTTCACGCTTAGAGAGATGCATGTAGGCGAAAAATCGATGGGAAAATCCTAGCGTTTCTTTCTTCAGTCGTTTATTACTTTGAATACTTTGAAGATTTGCTAAAACCAGGAAATAGGGCTCTTGTACAGAACAAAACATTAATTAGTCTATAATTTGATTGTTTATGATCATTATCGCACAGTTCACAATAAGGAGACTGTAACAGGAGAAGAGATTTTAAAGTCACATGTCGCGTGCTTGTTGAAGCACAAGTTCCCGTGTGTAACATCTTCGGCTTTTCCAGACCAAGGATGACGGGAAACCTTGCCACCCTCATTTGAAAGGAAATATCAATAGCCCCATAAAATTCATTAACTGCGCCATGTTTCCGGAAATTAAGACTGGAAAATGTTTTTTCCACTTTCCGCCATCAAGAAATTCCACGCAGAAATAATATTGGTAGTGTGACTGCGTGACCTTTCAGAGAAGTAAAAATTATTCATCTTCTTTTTCAAGAAAACGCTTCTAGAAAGTTCTTAACCCTTCTGTTATTTAATTGGCCTGTCTTTTGACTGCAGATATCGTCTGAATTGGTATATTTTCGCTGATTGTCAGGGCTTTTCCCGCATGCACGTGCGAGCCAGTTGCTATACAGCACTCTGTCGAGTTTCTTTGCGTGGTGTCGGGCTTAGGTGTGTAGGTCTGGCTCAGAAGATATTTGCACGCTGCAACACGGGTTCTTATGTTTTCTCCTTTTTCTTTATTTGTATTTTTATTCTCTCTCTTGCATTATCACACTTGCATGTTTTTTTTAATCCCTTCAGCGCGTTCCCTCAGATTTGGAAGAAGGCTATGAAAAGTCAGTATTGACCAGAACTGAAACCTTTTCTATCACTATTTTTTTCAAAGACCCCTGTTATTTATAACATTATTTCTAAAGGGTCTTGATATTAGCAGGCAAGTAAAGAATTAAAAGAAAGCGACAAAAATTTTGAGTTTGTAAAACATGTTTCGACAGAAATTTCTGTCATCTTCAGTTAATTACTGTACAAAGCGTTGGAAGTTGAATTATATAGTAAGTAGAAAAATGCTAATTAATATGAATAGTGACAACAAGAAAAGAGGTAAAGCATGAAAGTGTGAGAATTAAAAAGATAGTTTTAGATTTACATGGTGTAATTGTTGATTTCAGGATGGTTGTTCTCTTTGAATATGAATAGCCTCTTTTATCTTAAGCTGAAAGCTGGTAGAGGCGTGATCTAAAACATGGAAGTTATCTGCTGAACACAAAGCGCGACAATGTGGAGAATCTTTCGGATGCTTGAAAATGTGAGAGGCCCTGCCACTGACCAAAAGCTCTCTAAATGCCGGCAAGTTTCAGCGATTTAACAGGCATTACAGCCAGCACATACAAACTTATAAACCACATGTGAACGGAGCCCGTCAGGGACAGGGTCTTTCACACCAAACAAGTTACCGATTTTGAAGGAAGAGAAAACCAGTTTAATATCTAAGTCATTGCAATAGCGCTTAACAAAATGGCGGATCTTTTTTCGAGTGATAGCAGGAAAGTGGCCTAAGTAGGGTAGCTTAAAGTAAAACGTAGGTGAAGTGGTGGGAAGGGAACCCCGGGGATAATGATTGCTTTGGGTCCCAGTGATGTAACGGTTTAGAATCTGCTCGATTAAATGACCAGGGAAAAGATTCTTTTTTTAGAATATCGGTAAGTTTGTTGATGTCCTCGTGAAACCCTAACCAGGTGTTGTAACCTTGTACGCCCTATCAACGAGTGTCTTTATGAGTCCCATTTTGTAAGAGTACGAGGTGGAGCTAAAATAATTAATTAGTAACCCAGTGAAAGTTTGCTTGCGGTAAACCCTAGTTAGAGAGGCATTGGGGTCATGGTTGTAAATCAGGACATCAAAAAAGGGTAATTTGTGATTAACCTGCTTTACCATAGTGAACTTTATGTTTGGGTGCCTAGAGTTG